TAAATACTTAATAAAGTATAAGGTCGATAATATAGATACTACCTAATTATACTACCGTATAAAAAGTACGTAAAGAGAACGATCTAGCGGTAGCTAGTATAAGATAGTTCATTAACTTAAAGAAGATCTTTCTAAAAGAGAAATTATACTTAGGGGGGAGATATAAGGTCCTATAAGAAACCCTTATAATATTCTATAACTATTACGAAAAAGTCGGTATCCGAGAACATTAATATTATTTAGTAGTTAATATTATATTAATAGGGAAAGTTACCGAGTATTATTATTAAGCGGTGCGTAATATCGATCGAACTGACTTTCTTAGTATTGTTAATATAATCCGAAGTCGATTTGAGACCTAAAATAGGAGCCTTGAGCTCCTCTTAGAGCTGAGGGTATTGTTATTTAGCTCTGTAGCTAGAATAATAAAAAGAAAGTCGAGAATTAAGATCCTCGAGGAGCTTATCGATAGGATCGATAAACTAGCGAGGACGTAGCTAAATGAGGGGACTAATAAGTAAAAGGTTAGTTATTTATATATAGCGGTATAGAGGGTATTAGAGGTAAAGATGACTTTATATTAACCGCTTAAGGACTATAAAATACTATGCTTAAGGCTATAGTCTAGCTTTAATATTAAAGCCAGGATACTAAATCAGATTTACCTCTAATTTTATAAAGGCCCTTATTAATAGTACTAGGTGGACTGTATATATAATAGTAAAGGAAGAGAGGTAAGGTATAGTAACCGCTAGGGGGGAAGAACAGACTCCTTAGGGGGGCGTTGGTCTAATACTAACCGAGTACTGTAGAAAGGAAAGTGTTTTATATATAAAAAGGAGGGTTATTGGTTAAGTAACTATTTTGATAAGGAATGTACTAAGTTGTACGATTAATATAAAAAGGTAAAGGGCATATAAGGCAAGACGGGCTATAATCGATTTAACTAATTCCTGGTGGTCTATAAGGACTATCTAACGAACGTAATTAAGTTGTCTAAGAGCGAGGAAGATCTTACCCCGTATACTCAAGACCTTAACTTTAATAAAGTTAACGATATTATTTATTCTTTCTTTACCCCGTCAACCTTAAGAGGATATATAATACTAAACAAACAGAGAGCGGTATAAGCCCTAAATAAGCAGGCTTTCCTTTATAGTTAATAAAGGAAGGTCTTTTAGCTAACGATAACGCTTAATAGTACAGGGGACACGAATATTAATACCGTAGCTATAGCTCGTACTAAAATCAAAAGGCCTAGGGAGGAAAAGAGAACGATAGGCTTATAAATACATAATTTATACCTACTAGGAGGGTTCTACGGTAATCCAGTATAAGTATTCTATGTTAGCAAAAGGTATAGTTTAGAAACCTTTTACGGGATTATTCTAGATACCGGGGTATTATAATAGTCGATAGGGGGCAAGGGATAATTCTATACACTCTAAAAGATCTTATTAGTAACCCTTAATATTATAAATGCGGGTATTACGAGGATCAGTTTTAGCCTAGGGGAAGAGATAAGTACCTTAGGTATTATAGATATAAATATATAATTTGGAACGATAATTTTCTATATTTTACCTATTAATATATTATTCCTCTTATACCTAAATGATATGGATAAATTGGGTATTATATTTGATAACATAAGGAATAGAATATTTAATAGAAAGTACTCTAAGCTCGTCGATCGATAATAGGGGTATGCGTTTATAAAGCTTAAACTAGATATTAAGTTTATTAATTATTTAATAGAAAGTGAACTTAAGCGACTATATCGATAATTTAGCTATCCGTCGATAATAAAACTATATAATCTCCTTAAATATTTAGAGAACGATATAGAAATAGGGGCTCTAGAATAATTAACGATAGTATACTACTAGTACTAAATAAATACCTAGAGCCCGCATAGATTTAAGTTTAAATTATATAACGACCTTAATTTTAATTAGGAAATCGTTGTTGATATCTTTTATTTAAACAGTTAATTAGTACTCTATATAATCGATAAAGCTATATTATTCTAAGGAGGCCAATTCTTTTAAGATATATAAGCTAAGACCGTGTAGGTAACGCTAAAGTGCTATTAGATCGATATATACCAAGGTCCACTAGACGGCATTAAAACCGATGCCGGTACTAGCTTTAAGTCGGCGGAATTTAGAGAGAATACTACTTTATACGGTATCTAACTAAAAGTCGTCCCTATCGAAGTATATTATAGTATTAGTAAAGTAAAAAGATCATACTAGTAATTAAAAAGAGCTTTTAAGATCATCCAGGAAGAGAGCCCTAGTTTAACGGATAAAGAGTGCCTCTAGATGGCACTTAAGTGCTATAATAATACCATAGGACCTAAGGGGCTCGTTCTAACGCTACTTATATTCGGAATATACTTATAAATAACGACGGCCTTACCGCCGTCACTAGATATGACCTAGAGGGCGCGAATAATCAAGAAAGTAATAAAGACTTTCCGTAAGGCAAATACTAAAAGGCAAATTAATAAAGCTATTATTATACATAATAGGCCCGACGTAAGCTTTAACCTCAATATGCCCCTAAATTTGGAGGTATGGGTATAGAGGGAAACTATAAAGTAATAGATAGGCCTATATAAGTTAGTCTTAATTAACGAACGATCTTATGTCGTCGCGAGAGATCAAGACCAACTACTGGAGGTATTAATCACTACGGTACGACCGTATTATATCGACCCTAACGGAGTGATTTCTAACCTATAAAAAGAAAAAGAGCTAGGGGAACTACCTTAACAAAGCGATAAGGGATAACTAAGCAATAAGGGGTAAGAAACCATCCTTAACGAGATCATCATTACAGTACCCTTAAACGATAAGGCAGAAAAAGAACCAGTACCCCTACTATAAGTAAGATGCTAAAGAAGACCCCGAAAAATACTTTAACGGTAATTTATATTTAACACCAAGGCTACTACTATCTTCTATATAGCTAAAAAAAAATAGACTTTATAATAACGGTTAAGCTAAGGGAATAAGGGATAATCATAATTATAGGACGACTATATAAAGGCTCCGACCTTATCAAAGCTAATATACTGCGCGATCAAAGGGTCTATAGATTTATCACTTACGACCTAGAGAAATATACGAACCTCCGTATCTTTAAGTTATAAATGGTCTATAAGATCAAAGGAAAAGGGATAAATTAACCGTATAAGAAATCAAGGTATATAATATAAGGCTATAGTGACGTCGAGAAGGCGGCACTACTTACGTAGTTGCCAATAGTTCAGCGCTATAGCTAACAATTAATAATAGTATTAATGGCATTATTATAGTAAAGAGGATACCGGATCTAGAGTCGTGATATCACCTAGGTATATACTTAATCGGTAATAAGGCTTATGAGGAAGATATTGGTTTACTTATTAAGGGAGATAGTAAGTAAATACCCGGACGATATGATTATCGAAGTGCTAAAGCCATTCTACGGCCTCGTAAAGTCAGGCACTTATTAGTGGGCAATATACTACGATTTCTATATTAATAAGCTCTTGATAATTATATTAACGTATAATCCTTGCCTCCTAGTTTCTACATATATAAATGATCTATTTAGAATTGTCAGAATGTAGATCGACGATATATTAAGGCTTTTTAATACGGCCTTTATAGAGAAGGAGGATAAGGAGCTGGAGAAGGTAAAGTTTACTACTAAGTTAAAAAAGATCTTTATAGAGGATATATTATTTATATTTAACGGTAAGATCTTTACGATTAAGGGCGAGAATATTGTCTTTTGATAGAAGGGGTAAGGTAAAAAGATTACCCTTATCGACCTAAAAGTAACTAATTATTAAAAGCGGTATAAAGTAGAGCTCGTATAAGGAGCTTATATTATAAGTATCTATTAGCCAGAGGCTACTTTTAATTATATAAGGGTAGTATAGGCTATTTTACCGATAGAACGTAACTTTAATACCCTTAACCGATAGCTATAGTAGTAGTAAGTAAACCTTGATAAGGGGCTCGTGTATTAACTTATCGATTTAAGGGAGGCGAAGCTTTATATATTTATTGACGGCTTATTTACGAATAATGATAACTTTATATTATAAGTGGGATATATAATAATTTTTGCTAACGAGGCAATAGGAGAGGAGAACTTCACGATCTACGGTAATATCATCTATTATTCGTTAATAAAGAGCAAAAGGGTTATACGAAGTGTACTTACCTTAAAGGTCTACGGCATGGTTAATGGCGTCGATATCGTATACGCGATCTTAACGATACTAAAGAGGATTACCGATCGACTTAATATCTTTACAATACTAATAATCGTCTATACCGATTTATATTTGCTATATGAGTGCCTTATTAAACTAGGTACCACGAAGGAGAAGAGGCTGATAATAGACATCATGGCCTTCCGGTAATTATATAAGCGCCGCAAGATCCTCGAGATCTATTAGATTAATAAGGACGATAATCTAGCGGATACTTTTACGAAGGTAATGCCTAATAAAGGGCTCGAGTACTTTATTAGCGAAGGAAGGGCGACGATATAGATAGAGGGATAGGTAACCTATAAGGAGTAAAAGAAGGAAAAAAAGGGGGCAGCCTCGGTGAAAGAGCCCGAGATCGAATTATATTTCTAACCACCGTAATTAAGTAATAAAAGAGAGAGATAATCAGTATTGGATTAGAAGTCCAATTCGACCTCGAGGTAAGGGGCCCGTGCAGGGGCCACTTATAGACCATACTTACAAGATCTACGGTCTACCTAACCTCCAGTTAGAACCTCCTTTTTATACCTTATATAGAAGTTAAATATATATAGATTTTGACCTCTTCGTCACCTACGGTTCGAACCATCCCTGTGATAGGAATACTAACAATTAGGCTTGTCGAGGTCTCAATTATATTTCATTCGTACGTTAGTCAACGAATCTCTGTTTCAGTCACTCGTAACAAGATCAGTCAGCGAGTCTCTCCATAGGGAACACCCGGTTCATGTGTCGTAAGATTTCTTCATTACTGCTACTATTCCGATATAGCTGATGTACGTATTTGCGCAGTCTCCATGATCCATTCCTCCGCTCGTTGCTCAAAAACGGATTCGCTCTTCCCAGTCCCGGATATCATGCCACGTGAGGGCACTTAAAGGGTGGCCTCCTTGGCGTCCTCGCCAATCAAGAAGACGGGCTCCTTGTTGCTGTAGTTGGGGACGTCCTGCATGACCTTGGCCGTGTCGGGCGAAGCAAGCGCCTTGTGGATGCTCTCAACGCTGTCGAAGGTAAGGATACCGGCAAAGGCATACTTGGGCTGCTTTCCGTCGGGGGATGCCGAGTACTTAGTGACCTTCCAGGATTGAACGCCGGCCGCCTTCCACGTGGCCGCGGCCATGGGCATGTGGCTCTCGACGTAGTAGTCGATGTTGTACTTGGCATCGGCCTCGTTGGGGTAAAGGACAGAGACAGTGGCAGGCATCTTGACGGATTTTTCGTTTGTACTCCGGTTGTATGAAGGAAAGATGTGATTGAGTGGTTGACTTGTGAGTGACTCGAGTTCAGTCTGGTGATATTTTGAATTGAATTTGGCGTTGTCAGTCGAGTCTAGACCGCCGGGACTCGAAAGGATAAATACCTCCGCCCATCGTCCCCTCACTGACGTAAGACACAACTACCATTTTCCATTGGGGCGGAGACACGGCTTACCAATTCTCCCTTCGATCGCAATCTTTTAGGTTTCCACTCCGTGAATTCCGGTGCGAATGGTGGCCCTTGACAGCATGCCAGGTGGAGCGGGTTCGGGCGCTCCGTGCTCCGTGCTCCGTCTCTTGAATGTTGAGTTGATCTCCCGTGCCTCGGCATGCTTCGGACACACGGAATTTTGAGCGGGGAAGCTTGTTCTCTAGAACCCCGCTCCTATTCAATCGGACTACCATAGTAATCAGTGCGAGTTGGGCGAGTTTATCGGATACGCTTTTAGGTAAGTGACCAGCTGGCTGTGGATGGTTGTGGTTGTAGTCGCGGTAGGCGGTCTGCCATGGCAATATACAAGAGCGGCATTCGTACATGGAGAAATGTCACATCCAAGTCTAGTAGGTAAGCAGGTGAGCGATTTGGACGTTCAACTAATGTGTAGCCTATAGAAATATGTGCACCGATGACCCGATGATGACCCATCGTGAATATCTAAGTACAGGTGCTGAATCATCCCGTCGACTGTTCCGAGTTCGTCCGCATGTAAGCGATTGCTATCCTCTTTATTGCGGATGCGCAACAGAAAGGTTATCATATAGAGCCCCAGTCCGGAAATATCGCACTCCCGTGGTCCCCTTGGTACTCTTCGATACAGTATGCGTAAGTTTGGGCACGCTCATATCATCAACAAAGACTTTGACCTCTTTGTTAATCGCAGCCACCCTGAGGTGGTAGTTTGTCCCAGTCTGGATAGGCGACTTGGCGGATGCTAGTAGAGTCCAACTTTGATCCATTTGACCCAGAACGATCTCGCCGGAAGCATCGACGGCAGCATAGAACCCAGTCACGTTGTCGATTCCTGCGGACGCGCTTGTGACACCGAAAAGAACACCCGCATCGCCAGAATCTTGAGCATTGGACCCAACATCTGGGTCAACGAGAGCGATGTCGATGTCGAATATCAGATTCTCAAATCCTGTGTTTTGAAGGACCTTGCCGCTTGTAGCCTTCTCCGCACTGAGCTTTCCGTCCTTGACAGAGAAGGATCCCTCAAAAGAGGTGTCCCAGCCAATCAGGTTCCCGTCATCGAAATTGTCCTTGACGAGCATCGTGACCGGCTTGATTGTCCCATCCTCATTGAAGTACATTCGATCGTAGGCGAGCTGACGATGATTGCCGTCACTGTCACCCAATGGTCGGCGGTGGTAGAAGATGTACCAGATGTCGGTCCCAGGGACGTTGATAACCCCGTTGTGGCCAGAACCAGTTGCGACAGCGGTATCCTGTTGGAGGATCTTGGCCTCTCGGTTGAAAGGACCAACGGGCGAATCCGAAATGGCGTATGAGACTGAGTAGTCCGGGCCCGTCCAACCTCCTTCAGACCACATGAGGTAGTACTTTCCATTGCGCTTGAACATCAGAGAACCCTCCACATAGTTCTCAGGTGTGATTTCCTTGAACTGGGTGCCATCTGAAAAGGTGCCGATGCTGACCATGTCGCTGTTTAGCTTTGCAACATTGGCATGCCCGTGGCCACCATAGTAGATGTATGCCTGACCATCATCGTCGATGAAGACGTCTTGATCAATGGGCTGGGCTCCATTATGGTACTCGCCAATGAGCGGCTTCCCAATCGCATCTTTGTAAGGGCCCTCAGGCTGGTCTGCTACAGCAACGCCAATACCGCCAATTTGTGTTTCTCCCTCTTGAATATCATTGGCTGCGAAGTACAGGTAGTATTTTCCGTCGCGTTCGATATGGGCGGGCGCCCACATGGCTCTGTTTGCCCAAGATACCTGGGCTTTGGTGAGGATATTTGCATGTTTGGTCCAGTGCACAAGGTCGGGCGAAGAGAAAGCGTCGAGGTAGATCTGTTCGTCATAGGCGTAGGATGAAGTCGGGAATGCCCAATATTGGCCATTGTAGACGCATGTATCCGGATCGGCGTACCACCCGTCCACGAAAGGGTTGCCGGCCTCTGAAGTAGTGAAATCAGGGACCGCTCGTCTCATGTTTGCAGTGTGTGAACCAACTGAGAAGAGAAGGCCTGCGATGTAGAATGGTAACTTCATTTTTGGCGAGTCCGCGCGTCAGACGTCGTTGACTGGATGGTGGCGTTGTTGAGGGGTAGCGGCACTGTGCTTCCGGAACAAAGAATGTCTCCGAGTATATTTGTTTCTTGTAGTTTCTCATAGTCCAAAGAGAAACTTCGCCTTGATGAGATAGGGCACACCACGCGTTTTAAGTGACACTTGACTCACCAAAGTCCAACCTAAGTTCCTTACGATGCTCCCGGAGGATTTTAGCGTTCTTCTGTAGTTCTGCTGCCTAGCGATCATGATACCCAAGAGGAACTTTGGAAGCAAATTCCAATCCATTGTGACGATCGTTCTAGAATAATACATAGACATGGGCCTGAGCGTGTCCCTTTTGACAAGTAGAGACCAAAGAGCCCTCAATTGCAACGTTACTCGAGTTACTCTTTCAGCCTCCTAAAGTAGGATAGCGACAATAGCGAGGTGTCGGAAGGGACATACAGGATACCAGCGTACCCACCTATGTATGCGTATATTGCTCTGTAAAGTGGTCGATGAAGACTTGTGAACAGTGAATGCTCGGGACTATTTTAATCTCCTAGATAACTCCACAGAACCACTATACTCCGTCTCCTCATGATCTCGTTTGAAAGCATTCATTGGTGGTATCATTGCATCTCCTCTTTTTGAGTCAAACTTCACATCTCCTACTATCCACGACCTCGAGGCCTGGTCATACCGGTCTGTCCGAGTTTCAGTCATAGGGTCCTTCCACTCTACTAACTCGAGATCAGATCTTGATCTCCTAACCCCTGGACTCGCTACGGTAGCCGTTGCCAGGGAAGCTGCTCCTAGACGGCGCATCATAGACTCTTCGTCACTGGCGAATCGAGCAGGTGGTGCTTTGTGATCCCGGACCAAGGCTCGTAGTATCGGTATGGTTGCAGCGATGATTGTGACGACACTTTCTGATGCACCCCAAATCACTAACTCGACAGTATCGATAATGTCAAAAGCCCCAATCGCAGCAATCGTTCGGATCTTGATGAAAGATACAGCGCCGGCGCTGGCGGAAGTACGGGTCAGTCACGCGGATTCCTAACTTCTCAAGCGGATCATACTATCATCGAAGCAGACTCACAATACGCCCATACTCATAGCAATCAGGACACCAAATTTCTCTTTTTTGGTCATTGTGAGTCCCCATATAATCTTCCAAGGCAATATGGCGAGCACGATGTCCATGCCTCCAGAGTACGATGCGGTGAAGACGTTGTAGTTCATCATGATGCTCTTTGGCCAGCACGTGCCAGGTGTTGATGCCGTTCTCCAAGTTTTCTCGACCGGCCAACATTGTATCCAGGTGAAGAGCACATTGACGCCGAGAAATGTGTTGATCGAGATGATGATGAACCACACGAGCAGCTTCATCCATCGTTCGGAGGATTCCCGTGTGATGCGAAGCAGAGTCAGCGCGAATGACGTCTTGCTCCACGCTGCCGCGATAATCGAAAATGACCCAGAGAGGTTGGCGTAGAGCAATAGCCACGACCAATTTCCCGGTGTGATATCCCAGTTGTGCTTGCCAAAGTCGTATGACACATCGATGGAGATGAACGATCCGAGAGCTAGTAGAGCGCACTACTTGTTATTAGACATTGACAACTTCGTCATCAGCAGCAGTTAAGGTCTTCTTACCCACGATGCAACCAGCACATGGTCGTCTAACCACAGTCCTCTTCCACGCGAGAACTTGCAGTATATCCGCAGGGCGATAAACGCACCAGCAATACCGATGAGCGTCCACACTGTGGCGAGCAACCCCGGGCCATAGTCGTCGTGTGGGAGTTCGTCCCAAGGCGTGTCGTCCATAACCGCGAGATGTACTCAATCGCGACGCGGTATCGAGAAGCGCCGCATGAAGGAGTCTTCAATATCGCCCTGGCTGCCAAGGGGCAAGGTGTCATAAAATGGTTCCAAAGATCGAAGAGATCCTCGAACAGGGACCTGGGTCGCGTCTAAACGGCGATGCATGGCTATAAAAGAACCGGTCAACTGGCCTTCCCGCCCCTTGCCCTCCGCACATCACCCAAAAAAAAGGAGTTCAGCCGGTAGACCAAACGCTACCACGACAGTTCCATGGTTCCAAGGGAGTCGATCCCTTCAAGGGTTGCAGTGCGACATCACTCGTGGCTTCACCCGCTGTCTAGCAATTGGAGAAGAAGGGGTGCCCCTGTGTGTCAGACCCGGAAGCGAGATGAAGTAGTAGTGAAGCGTATCATCCCCCGCACTCCCGCCCGGCCGAGAAGTCAGAGCACGGGCGGATCGGGCTCTCCCGCAGCGTGACAGCCGTCGAAAATGGTGGCACGAGGGCTGAATCAATCCATCGTGGCGAGCTTTGCATGTATGGCTGGGGATTTCCTACCTAGGCCATTCGCGATGTGGGAGCTTTAAACGGTGCTCTCATACCGTTAAATATGCACGCTCGGGCCTAAACAAGGGGCTCACCCATGGTTCTGTCTCATCGATCCCCCGGATTCCAGCTTGGTATGGCAACAAATAATACGAACACGGTCATCAGAGTCCGATCTATAACTGAAGCCCACACGTCAGTCTACTCAAGAGACACTATGTACGAAGATTCTGACACGGGAAAGATGCCCTGATGGTGGTGTTACCTTGTTGTTTGTCGGGGTGACTACACCGGAGTGGACTCCCCCTACTTTAATGCTAACCGAATGACATCCTCAACTCAACTACCTAACCACCTCAAGCTTCATCGGATCCTCCCTGCTGTGGTCGCAATGATGATAGATCATTCACACAGGCCCGATTATGAGGCCTGCATTTACTTCCATGAAATCCTCGAAGCTGTGGTTGAATCGGGTGTCATTCCATTCTTGGCACCATTACCCAGCACCAAGTGCAGTGAAGGCGCAATTGTCTACTCCGTTGGGCTGTCAGTTGGACTCGGGCTCAACCTCGGTCTCTAATTACTGGCGTTTCCTTGCTTTAGTCGCAAATATTGCATTAGAAATCCGTGTTTCTATCTTTTTACTCTGTAAGAACCTCAAGACCACTTGCAGCCGGTGTTCATTCAGCCCCTTTGCCTGTGCCTAAGGAAGCTTTGCAAGGTTGAGCGCACCGGAGCGCGTCCATCTCGGCGAGCCTCCGTAAGTTTATTTCCGGGTCTAGACCGCCATAATGAACCGCAAACAGCAAATCCGCCCGGACATCCTGGGAAGTAGCCACCCCTCGGTCGGCTGGTGTTGGTCTCGAATTCTCGATTCCTTTACATGACTTTGGGGAGATCCCCCCTTTAGCCCGGAAGAGGGCTTCCCGCCTTCACACCTGGACAAATTTGGAAGCATTTCCCAACTCCAGCACAAAGTTGCTGAAATAGGAAGCACCATCTCATGAATCACCTGAGCCCTGTCGGGCCTGTTCCGTCACCGGCTGTGTTGTACTGCCCGAAAGAGAAAACCCCCCCAATTCCGCTAAATAATCCCGCATTACACGAGTCACTCACAACAAATCGATCAGGTCCTTCGACTGTCCCGTGGAAAGCCCCTGTACAGCTTGTAAGATCTTTCCCGCACGATTCTCATCATAAACAGACGCGACCATGCCTCTAAACTTCTTCTCAACTCGCTCGTGCGAAAAGGGATGCTCATTCTCACCAAGGGGAAATACCATCGCTTCTTCAATATCGCCTACGCCACCTATGCCTGAAAACGCCATTCGCACCTCGAATTCCCTCTCGAGTGTGTCATTGATCTCGACCTCGATCCTATCACATAGCTGTGCAACCTGCTTGCTCTCCATCTTGTCGGCATCGTAGGCACCCCAGCCGATGTCGCTACCGAATAGCCACGCGACGGCGACTTGATAGTAGATGCTGAACTGAGCATCAACGATGGTTTTGGGGTGCTTCTTGTTGGGGCTGGGCTCGCCAACGATACCATATCCAGCACGAGTCAACCCTACGAGTATCCTGTCCGGCAGCTTCGGTGAGTCGGACTTTGCGGCAAGTTTAGCTGTGATTTCAATGGCGGTATGAGTGAACCGACACGCGGGGAACGGTTTCAGTGCTGTTGCTGGATATAGCCATTCCGTCCCCAGGTTCTCGGTCAACCCAACAGCGTTAACACTCGCAGAGTGAGCCTGCAAGAAGCCCCACTTGCCCTCAATGATGTGAGATGCCCCAGTCACGCCGGCCTCCGCGAGTGCAACACACAGGAAGGCATCATGGGCGGCGAAGCCAGGATGCAATCGCTTATTCCAAGATCCATTATCGAGGAACTGCATCGAACCAGCGGCCTTTGATCCAGCTAGACCAAATGCATGATAGATTTGCTCAGTCGTCAGGCCCTTGATCTTGCTGATGGCGGCAACCGCTCCGAAAATGCCGGCTGTGCTGGTGTTATGGAAGCCTCGGGGATACCCACCACTCGATAAGGCACGACCGAGACGAGAAGCCACCTCATACCCGACCGAGAGTGCCGTGAGCAGCAGAGTCCCTGGCGCATCTGAAGCTTCGGCCTGTGCTAAAGCCGCAGGAATGACACTTGCGCCAGTGTGGATAATGCCAATAGCGAGCGTATCGTCGAAGTCGAAAGAATGCGCAAACGCTCCGTTCAGCAAAGCTGCGATTGGGATCGGGTAAGTCTTTTCTTTGCCGTAAACTTTACTCGTTCCGACCAAGCCTATCGCGAAAGCCTCAACGCCTTTGACGATATGCCCACTAGACTCGGAGTGAGCACCGCCGCCAGCCCCAACTCCGATGTGATCAATGACGAGATCGAAGAGTTTGGCAAGAGCTTGGTCTGGAATATCCTCGAACTTGGTCCGGACTATGAAGTCGCAGAACTTCTCTGTCGCATCTTCCGCGCCAGTGAAGCGGTGTCTCTATTCAAAGTTAGCCTTGTAAAGTAGAGGACATACGTGGATGGAAACCTACGTTGTGATCTTGTGCCATGTTGTAATGTGCTGGTTGAGTGAGTGAAGATACATACGGTTCGCGCTACATTCAGGGTATTAGCCGGCGGAGATGTTCTTATCATGAACTCGATTTCCGACCATAGACACTAAACTATGAGGCCGCCTACTTGTGAGAGTGTCGTCATCACATAGCCGATCGGTTCACGGCTATGCCGGGGCTAAGACGGTATTCACGCTCAAAATGCGGGGGAGGGGCCGAGCGGATGCATACACCCGGCGCTCCATCGTCCTGCTCACAATCTCATCTCTTGGTCCAGGGACCTGACCACGTACCTGGCGCAGAGAAAACAAACCTTCAGTCTAGTATCTTCAGTACTAGTAGATCTCCTTGAAAATGCCGCTTGTTCTCTTGTACATTATCAATCAATGTAGATGTTAGCCCCGCCCTCCAGAATAAAGTACTCCATACTTCTAATTATCGAGCTAATGTGTAAGTGAAGTTGATGTTCTTCTCAGAAGTTTGCTTGAATTCATGTTCATATAACGTAAGGAAGATGAAAGGTTCATTTCGAGAAAAATACTGCATTTAAGAGGCTTGAGATGCCAAGATCACCTTCTGCGAAGACCTACTGTCAACTCTGAAATTCTTCATATCAGCAGAGTAACGGAGACAGTTGATGGAAGAATTGATACCACGGCATCTTTCAATCCGTTACACCGGTCTCCATTGACCTGAGACTCGACCGTTTCACCAAACTTCAGACTATATGTTACTTACGAGAACCTGGTGATAATCCGAACCTCTTCAGTACCTACATGCATCAAGTCAGCGTCTAATATTTGCGTACGTGTCCTATTAAGTTTGCAAAGATAGACTCCTGAGTCAATTCCAGATCTCTTAGTTTCGGGCATGCTCACATCGTAGGCTTTGTTCCCGACACTGAGTCTTTTCGTGGTTCCAAAATAGCTATTACAGCGCTTGTCCCGGCTGCAGGGCCACTCGAGCACAACAAACGTGCCATAGTGCGAGGGCATCTGCCTCCAACGTCTCTCAACTTGTGCCCATATCCTAGTCTAGATGATTAGCTTCATACGTCTCTGTTTTACGATGAAACTTGACAAGCCCTGAATCATTGACGACACTTTTTCGTATAAATGAGGTAGCAGAAGGGCCAAGGCTAGGTTCTCGAGCAAAATCTCTTTGCTAACATTCTCAGGGGTCGTCAAAAGTTGCTAGGATTCGGAACAGCCAAAAGAATAGCAAAAGCGCTGGGCAAACGCTGAAATGAGGCTCTTCTATACGTGCTTTAGCAATTAAGTCGACATTACCTTGATCAAAAGCCGAGTCAACCAAAGTATTCAACTCAATTGTCATTCCGATTACCCAGTCGCCTCCTTGTTACTTAAAAAAAAGAGTACATAGTAATATTGAAGTCATCACTTGGATGCTGCTTGTGTGAGATCTTCTCAGCTCTGGTAGGTGGGTTTTATTTGGCACCAGGGCAGAGAGGAAGGAGAACTAACGTCCTGCAGGAGGGTTGATCTCCTGTCAGATGTGTAAGCTGACAGACAAGCAGTGCAATCTAGGCAAACACGCAAACTTTTCCATGCTTGGAAGAGCAGCTCGTGTGGCCTGCCAAGCCCTGTGGCTTTGGGGCGAGCCTGATCCCTTCAACAATCAGCACTAGAGCAATCTCGGCCACATCGCCTCAAGAATCGACGCTGGGATTGTAATCCTGTGGTTGGCTCTGATTCGCGACTGCACTTCCTCGTGGCACAAAGTCAGAGCCAAAAATGAACTTTTCTATCCTTTTAATACTCTGCTCAATGAAAGCGCGTCAAAGACCAAAGACGTTGACAGTCGATTTCCAGACATCGTTCGGTTGCCCGGAGAGGGGTCGACCCGGAAATGCGAATAGAGCGTGTCATCCCGCCCTCTCCCGCACCACATAGTAAGCTGCTCACCCCCTCCTCGGCCACAGCCGACCGCTTCATCGTGGAAGTTCTGCATTTTGTCCGCCTGTTGGTGTGGTCTCTGGCCGGTCAGCTCTGCACGAAGAGTGGGCCAGGCGGCCAATTCGACCGGGATCTTGCCTTCTGCTTCCAACAGTTCATCTGACTGGCGCAGAGTGGACTAGGTTCGATTGCTGAACATTCTCGGCTGGCCTGCCTATTTCAGATAGCTTGGGGGCTGCGTTGGCTGCATGTTGGTGTTGAACATCACAGTGCAGGGCATATTGTATGCGCGTGAGACCGAGCCCCCCTCCCTTTGTCCTGAATTGTGCCAGTCAGACAACGGGAAGGGAAGCCTTGGGATGAGGAGGAAGTGGTTGCACAGAGAATGCATCTGTTATGTTACACGCGGGTAGGGCCTGTCTTCATAGAGATGGGAAGTCCCCCTCAATCCGTGGGTGCCTTTTCTTTTCCCTTCCCCTGGGGGTTTCGGTTCTGCTTCTTCCGATTTTCTTCTCATTCCTCAACACCCGACCAATGCCGTTTGCGACTCGATATTGAGCGACTCAAATTCCGCCCAGTCCCGTTTTCGCAATGTTGGCTTCAATGCTAGGAGTGGTCTTGGGCCTCTCTCTTTACTCTCTCGGTGTCTTGTCGCAAGAAGCGTCGTGTTACGCACCGGACGGCACCCTCGCGGATAACGAGACGTACGTTCCGTGCAACAAGCTCGGTATCAACCAAGCGGGAGTCTTCTCTAGTTGCTGTGCTCTTGACGGCCCCCCAGAGCAACGAGACATCTGCTCCTCTTCGGGTCTCTGTATCAATCGTCAACAACAGCCGCAACGTGGTTTCTGTACCGACAAGACCTGGAAGAGCAAGGCTTGCAACCATGTCTGCACTGACATTCAGGTACGTAACAAACCCCTGGAATTACATCCAGCAATTATACACGTAGAATAATGACTGACCTTGTGTCTCAGACTGGCGGGAATCCGAGTAACATCAGCTTCATGACCGCATGTAACGACGGCACAGCCAAGTATTGCTGTGGTCAATCGAACACCACGTGCTGTGGTACCAATGAAGCGTTCACAATCGCAACCCAGGAAGCTGTGTGCACAGCGAACACGACGAACACCGATGGAACCACAGATGACAAGTCCGCGTTTAAAGGCGCCACCATTGGCCTCGCTGTCGTCACCGGTGTCTGCCTTTTGGCCGGCCTTATATCGACCTTCTGGCTCTGGAACCAAAACAAAAAACTGAAGAAAGAGTTGGCCGAAAAGGCGGAAACCCCAAGCCAACCGATGGAACCGCAATACACCGGCGCGACGAGTTCGTATGCAGCAACCTCGCCACCAATAGGTTACAAGCCTCCCTACAGCACATCGCCACCACCAACAATGTCGCCTGGCTCAGAGTATCACCAAGGCAACATGCACCGATACTCGGAACTGGATGCGTCAGCAGCTGTGGCGAGGAGTGAGATGGGGTCACCTTCACCATATGACCAGCAACATCATCAGCAGGGCCGAGACTCGCCAGCTCCTAGTCATCAACATGGACATGGACACCGGCATGAGAGTTACGGGAGTCCGATGCACTCGCCAAATCTGCCTCAGTCATAGGTGAAGCGGTACTGGCAGAGGATGGGATGATATTGATAAGTCAGGGTTGGTGTGGCATTAAAATTCCCGGTCTGCGCCAGCCGCGATGTGTTTTCAGGAACTGTGTTGAATAAAGTAGATATCAAGTCGCAGGGGTCACTCGAAAGCTCTTTTGATTGAACTATCCCAGGTTCTAGTATTGCTATTATTAAGGTATTTCTCTTACTTCACAGTCGAAGTGACTAGGTACTGTAGTTTCGCTTCAGACTCGTCGTGGCCGAATGCGTTTTCAGCAAGTATCCTGTGCCTCTGCGCAACCAAGGCAAGCTTCCCCCCTGACCCTCACCAACCCGCAGTCAGAGCAAAGGCGACGCTGGAGCCACAGAGTCAATATCTCCTGGTCGTTAGCCGCGAGCGTGCAGCAATCTTTGCACCGGCGCTGCCAGAAGCGATTCGGCTCTTCCTGCGCAAATTGTAGAGTCTTGCTGGGAAATTTGGCGGCAATCTTAACTTTGAAGCAGCTATAGCAAGGGTACGGGTGTTCCTGTCTAGGCATCTCCCTCGCAACCGGGCTGGCACTTTCGTCCTTAAGCTTGAAAATCTCTGGGTATACCAACTCAATGAGAGGCGCTTCTTTCGTCAAAACCAAGGCAAAGCGCTTATGGATGGGTACCCAATCAAGCTTGATTTGATGCATCGTCGAGCAACTAGCCATGCGTAGATGTATGGTGTCAAGGCAGTCCAAGTAGCCAATAGTTTGCTGGAGAATTCCCGTGGAAAGACGTTCCAAAGGCGAGAGTTGCTTGTCTTTGGAGCACTGTCTGTTGACGACGTTGCGGGATACGTGCTCGCCCCGACACCTGTTGAACTCTGTGCCAAGAAGTCCACAGTCATGGCAAGGGTAGTACAAGACTCTATCCTTCTTGACAGGTCGAAGGTCCGCGTAGTAGTTGTTCTCGATGGCACAGTCCCAACAGCGGCGCGATTTACGTAACGTCTGTGCGTTTGCTCGCTGTGAGCCTTTCATGGCTGCGTGTTGATCCCCAAAAGATGACCTCGGAAGAACTTTTAGACATCTGTAACAAGCCCAAAATTTACTTCGAGTGTTTTGGTCGACTTTTTTGCATCCTTCCAGTCGTTCGGGGACGGGAACCGCATATTCTAGCATTGGAGAAAGTACATTGTGGAAATAACGATTTGCGGATGTCAGTAAAGTTGCGGTAGAGTAGTCGAGTGAGCGGAGCACTTCGTATTGAAGGTCGTAAGGAAGTTGTTCGTAATGAAAAGTTCGCGCTGGTGGATTTTCCGAATGGGCTTGCTTTTCTTTGAGTTTTGTCGCTTCGCCGTTGTCCACCATTGCTTCAGGTTGGGACGGCTCGCCTTTGGGTTCTGCAGTAGAGATAGGTGACGCCATACTTAGAACTTGAGAGGGAATCTGACATATGGTGTGTTCAGATAGGTACCTCAGATGGATTGGAAGAGCCCTTAGTAGCAAGCAGTTGCGGTGCCTGTTTAGTATAATATAAATGAGGTAGGTGGCAATGAAGCCCGGGGGGGGGGGGGGGGTGCTGAGACGGGATGTTGGAAGAATGAAGTCTGATCCAGAACAACTCGATGAGCGTTACGTATGTTGCGATGAAAAGATTCACGAGCGAGACTCTTTCACACGAAATTGCCTTAAATACCAGTCTTCTTTCTGAAGATGACGCATTCGGCGTGGGCCAATATGCTCTTAGAGTGAGTCATCCGTGAGAACCTGTATTTACTTCTGGCACAAAATATGTCCATGTATAGGATACTTCCAACAAGGTCAGTATTACTACTTCTGATTCCAAGTGTCAATCAACTGTCATTTTCAGGCGTGGATTTTAGCTTTCCGGATTAGATGGGTCCGAATTCACAGAGCAGCGCTTAATCTTTTGATCAAAACATGTGAAGTATATGTGCTTTTTGGCTTCAAAGATATATACACGAATCTTCGACCGTCTCAATGGGATGCTATCCTGAGCAATCCCCTGCAAGTCCCATCCTTCCTTGATGACATGAAAACTTCCGCTTAGACACACTGGCTGTAGTAGTCGTTCTGCTTCTGGCAGGTGAGACCAGACTGGCAAGTAGTAGAGCCGGTGAACCCGTTGCCGCCGCACTGAGCCCAGCGACCGGCACCACCAGTGGCGGCAGCAGCAGGGGCGCCGGAAGCGGCCTCGGCAGTGGCACCACCGCCGCACTTGCTCTTCACGACAGTGCTGAGGGTAGTAGCAGGCGCAGGGGTGGCAGCAGGGACGCTGGCCTTGGGTGTGGTGACCGGTGCAGCGGGGGCAGAGCTTTCTGGGACGGAAGACTCAGCAGCGGGGACGGAGGGCTCGGCGGCAGCAGACTCGGAGGTAGTGGCGGCAGCAGCAGCGGATGTGGTGACGGCGGCGGCGGCGCTGGTGGCAACTGCGGGAGCAGAGGTGGCGGGGGCAGCACCGCCTTTGCCGGCGGCGGCGAGGAGGCTAGAGATGCTGGTGTAGGCGGGCTTGGGCTTAAGGTTCTCGTCCCAGGGGAGGGCCTCGCCGGTACCGGGGAAGACGGAAGGAATCCAGGAGTACTTGTCTGTGTAGTCCCAAATGGTGACACCAACACACTCGGCGATATCCAAGCAGGCGCCGACGACGCTGACATAGTCGGTGGCTTGCTGCTCCTGAGCGGCGGTGTCGGCGGGAATAGCCTTGTGGCGGATGTCGAGCTCGGTGTAGGCGACCTCGGTGACACCGGCGTCGACGTAGGACTGGAGGACGGCGCTCAGAGCAGTGCGGGAACCGGCGCTACCAACGATGAGATGGGCCTGGAGGCCAAGACCGTCGATGCGAGCACCAGAGTCCTTGATGTTCTTGATGATGTTGAGGACCTCCTTCTGCTTGTTACCGGCCAGCTCAATGTTGTAGTCGTTGTAGTAAAGCTTAGCGTCCGCATCGGCGGCGGCGGCGGCCTTGAATGCAATAGGGATGAAGTCGGTTCCGAGAACCTTGTAGAAGACACTATCGCGGTAGGTACCGTCCTCGTTAAGGGCTTCGTTGACGACATCCCAAGCGTAGCACTGGCCCTTGTAGTGGCCGGCGACGTTGGAGATGTGAGTGTCGATGATGGAGGTCAGCTGCTCCTTGGTCCAGGTGCCGGAAGATACCCAGGTAGGAAGCTGGGAGTGCCAGACGAGGGTGTGGCAGCGGAGAAGCTTGCTGTTGGTCTTGGCGAAGTCGGCGATCTCGTCGCCGGAGGTGTAGCTGAAGACGCCTTGGCTCTTCTCGGTAAACTGCCACTTCTGGCCGTTACCAGGGGTAATCTGGCCAAACATCTTTGCGTCTTTCAGGATCTCGACGTAGGCCGTATCGGTGAGCTCAGAGTTGTCCGTGGCCGTGCCAAAGTACTTCTTGCCGGCAGCAACGGCGAGCTCGTGCAAGTTGGCGCTGACGCCGGACGCGAGCAGGCCGGCTGCTGTGATAGTCGAGAAACGCATTTTGGCGAGGATTTTGGAAATGAGAGACTGGTTGAGAGATAGACTGGTAAAATAAAGAAAAAGAACGTGAAATGTTACGTCGAGGTAACAAGAAAAGAATGGAATTGAATGGCAAGAGACGACGAAAGAGAGATCAAAGCCAGACCGTTGGACATATTAGCGGGAAACTGGTCATTTATCAATGTTCGTTCTCTTGACCTTTCCTTACTTTGTACGGAGTACGCCACTCCTCGCTTCCATCCCGCCCCAATCTACCTAATGCTAGAGGCTTGTACCATAGTAGCCGACGATCCGGGAGCCTCCTTCCCCTGCAACGGAGAATCAGCGTATTGGCTAGGAGACCTCGCTTCCTTCGGCCGAAAGATGAAAGGGGTTCAGAACTGTAGGGCCAGGAGAGGATCTCCCGATATGTTCTGGGGATCCCACCAGTAGCATCAGGGATGGTGCTGGCGCGCGGGTGTAAAAGAGTTGACCATGGGCCGTCCTGTGGCCTTGTGGTCTTCACCTGAAGGCCACAGAAACTTTCCACTCTCAAGCAGGACAGAAGCAGACCAAACAAACCAGGCCATGCATGTCTACTGTGCCATCTGAACGAAAGCGGTTAAACCGGAGCTTGCCCCGCTCCCGCCCCTGAATTTCCGGTGCTTCGGAGGGTCCACTTGCAACCATTTCGGGCCTTACGCCGGCAGGCAATTTGTTTACGCGAAACACGCCATCTTTACGCTTTCAAGCATATCACCTTATTCACGACACTGTTCCTTCAAATAAGGGGATATTTTGACAGCAGCCAGTTTTGCTAAGGTCGTTCTTTTGGTGCATTTGAATAAGCCTTGCCAGAGGTTCAGGAGGTATGGCTCAGTGACGTCTTCAATTAAATGCAGCATCCTTGCTTTATACGCAAAAATTGAGTCAAATAAAGAATTGTCCACCAAAGACCTCAACTTGGAGAAAGAAACAAGGTATATCAGTCTTTGGAACGGTTCGATTATCACTATAGCATTAGAAGTAAGTAGGTTTTTGGGTGCTATCTTGATTGTAGCAGTATTAAAGATAGTCCTATCGCTAGATAAAATATTACTAATTATTCAGAAGCCATCCGTCAAGGAGCGTAGGTCTTGTTTAAAGACGATGCGGTCGTTATTGTCCATAATAATGGTAAGTCAATTCCCCTTTTGTCATATTATTGTCATCCTCCAAATTCCAAATACTCGGCTGCAATTGTTGAAAGTTCTGCGAGTCTTGCTCAAGCTTTTGGCCGGCTAAGATGAGACATCATCGAAAAGCCGGGCAAGAGAGTGTTGTAGAGAGTTATTGAGCTCTTTAGAACTGAACATCGGGGGTGGCACCGATGACGAGGACGGGGTTGAGCTTGACCTGAGCGTTGCGGACGCGGTCGACGATGGCCTGGGCATTGGCGGTCAGGGTAGCAGCAGTAGTCAGAGCAAGGTTGCTGGCGGTTCCGATGGTGGCGAGAGTGGTACCAGCGGCAGCCTGGGCCTGAGCCAAAGCAGGGAGGAGGATCGCGTTCTGGGCAATTCCTGCGACGGTTCCAGCGTTGGCGGTGACCTGAGCCTGGAGAGCGGCGATCTGAGCAGTCAGGGCTCTGGCAAGAGCCTGCGCCTGGCGGACAAGCTGTGATGATTTCGTCAGTATTGGAACCATGGAAGTGGATGATTCATCTTACAGCTTCAGCCTGGCCTCCAACATCGGGAGTGGCAGGGGCAGTAACGGTGGGAGCAGGGGCGCTCGGGATCGCGGTGGGAGCGGCAGCAACAATGCTGGCGACGTTGGCAGCGATAGCAGCGGCGTTGGCGCTCAGCTGAGAAACAACGGCCTGAACTTGATCAGCGGCCTAAGTGCTCATGTTAGATCCATGTACATCTTGTCAACTTTGGCGAGGGATTATCTTACAGCTGTCGCAGTGCCGGTGGCTTGAAGGGCAAGGCTGTTGGCGAGAGCGGTGGTCTGGGCAATCTGGCCGGTGAGAACCTGGAGAGTGCGGAAAGCCAGCTCGTTGGCTCCAAGCTCAGCAGGGTTGAAAGAGACGCCAGGGGTAACAATGGTGCCAGGTGTGATGGTGGCGCGAGGAAGAACAGCTCCCTGGACTGAAGCGAAGGAGAAGGCGGCGAGCGCGGCGGTGAAGATCTTGGACTGCATGATGGCGGGTGGCTTCGAACGAAGAGGATCTGTTGATAAGATAGTAGTTGTGAAAAGAAGTGTTCAGATGGATGTGTCTGAGTATAGAGTGTTGAGATGCTGTGTGAGCTGATGAAGAGGAGATGGATGCGACAAGACGGGAGTCGTCAATGCTTCTTATAGGAAATTGAGATGCTGCCTTCGAGCCCACGATACCCACAATTTCAACGTCCTGGAGGTTCGATGCCGAGAAGCCCTCGAAATGTCTGAAAACGAGCATCATCCTACAAGAGGCTGGAGGTAAGCGTCGGGTGGCTTGCTGAGCATGGCTTCTTCCGTGGGCTAGGAGCCCCATCCGAAGCCCCGACTATTTCGAGTTGTACAACGCTCTTCGTCTTCGTGAACCAACACAGTATCATTCCAGAACATCAACTGCAAGGGATTGCCTCTTTTCCAACTTCGAAAGACAAATGACGAGACAACAAGGACCCCTCCGTAAGGCTCGAGGCGGACGGACGAACTGGTGGAGGCACGCTAAGGGATGGGTCCCGATCTTGACGTCGCAGGCCTGGGCTGATCTAGAAGGGGCCGCGTTCCTCGGCATCCCACTATCCTCCTCCATCTCCTCCCAGACCTTCAATCAGCAGGCAAAGTCTTCGACAAAATCACCGCTTGTCTCAATTTTGATGTCAGGCGCCGCCAGGGCGTAAAGCTAGACCCCAAGAACATCGGGGCATCTTGGCTGTCCCGGATTGAACTACCGCGCGGCATCGAGATGGTGGGTTCGGCATAAATCTTTGAGCTCTTACCATGGTAACGGAGCCTTCCATCATCTAGCCGACATGCACCGGGCCCGATGCCTGTGCCTGTCTGAGATGAGGTGATGATCTGCCCCGTCATCTTGTAAATCATTCCTGTGTTAAGATGAGAGACTTTCACTGTCCGAGGTTCTGTGTAACGGGGCAAGGCTTGCAGTGATGGTAGGATTCATCGGTGTGATATGACGACACGGCAACGCTCCCGCATAGCCAAAGAAAACCTACACGGAATCTCTTTGGAAACGCCTCTGCGCGGCGAGACACTCCCGTCCGGGCTCCAGCTAAAGAAGTTGAAAGGAGTCAGAAAGTCCAGTAAGACACACAAGTCCCACGGAATCTTCCTCTCAAGAATGCTGAGCGGGTGAGGCGTCTCCTCTGCTGTCATTCCCGGAGCGCCCCATCTTCAGTTCCCTCTCCCAAAGGCCGCAGTTCCCTTGTAAGGAGCTGGAAACGGACAGCTTGTTGACTCCTCTTTCAACTTGTTACCGCATGTGGCGGGAGTGGATGTGGTTGGGTCTGAGCTGTCTCAGGGTCTACTGGAGTTTCCCGTGGACGATGTTGGTTGTCTAAGACAAATTAGAATCCACGAATCAGTACAATTCAAGATAGCCTCTGACCCCACATTCAACGGGAGCAACACTTTCACAGAGCTCGAGCCAACTTAGACGTTATGGGAGCTGACTATTAGGCAATAGTGACAAGAGCTAGATACAGCCTAGCCGTGGCTTGGCGGGCAGGCTAGGCTCACGGGAAATATGTCAGCGGATAGTTCCCAGCGGGCCGCATTCATCGACAGCGGGGTGGTTGAGCCGGCTTCGATCATCGGACTGAGCTTGTTCCGTAGCGGGACGACGAGGTCTTAGCAATTACCTAAGGGAGATTCCGTCAATGGCACCGCCCGAGACAACGTTTGCGGCCGTACATTGCGGAGAGGAAACTCCATGTCATGGGCGTGCTAGGCAACTGAACGAGATGACTCAACCGCCCCAGAGATTGCATTCCGATCGTAGTGCCAAACTGCGGCCCGATCTGTGAACATTGCTCGACTTGGTGCCCATAACTTCAATCGGCAAGTCCAAGTTGAAGATCAACGTTTTCAACTCAAAGTCCGCATCATTTCCATCTAGACTCAGGTCGATTTATCTGGATTAATACAAATCAAGAGAGAAACATTACAAAAGCTCTTTGACTAGGAAGGTTCAGCTATTTGATAGGGTGTCGGAAGTTCCCAGCTCCCATTCTCTTGATGTGGAGTTTGTGGTTATTTTGCCGCCTCATTGGTACCTCCGCCTTGCTCATGGTGGGCTTCAAGCTACAGAGAAAATGCCAGGTACTAGACCTCACGGCCTTAACTATGCGCTCTTGGCGCGCGGGCAGCGCGTCTCCTCAGCTTCTCTGCCACCAATGACTCTTAGCGTACTAGTAGCTATGTGTTCTAACTCTAACTATGCGTGCACAAAATGGACTATCCTTCTGCTTATGCAATGATTCCTGATGCTCATACTGTGATGTCATTCCTAAATTTTGGTTGAGCATCTCACGTCCTTGGAATTCTTCCTTTCTGTTCGATTATTGTGCCTCGACAAGGAAGACCAATGCTTGTTCTTCCTCTGAGACAGTCTTAAGAGGATGAAAGTGCAAAAGGAAGATCAACAGTTCTCAAAGACGGAGCACCTTCCATCTCCGTGGTGCTGGATGTTGCCTCTCGCCGACCTGTAAGACAAGTACCCGGTTCCCTTTGCATGCTTCCGGCTTAGGGGCCATGGCGAATCACACAACTATTGGCCATTATAACCCCATCGGCACACGAATGACGTTTGATAGTTCTTTCCCTAGATGCGTTGACCACGCTTCATGGCGTAGCCTCACATTGAGAATGGTTGATCTTTCAGCAAGCCACAAGACCTATTCCTTGCATCCACAACATCGGGCCCAGACAGTGTGTTCAACGGATGAGAGGGGTGCCGTAAGGGGTCAGCATTGCTTCCGGCGTGTGATAGAGACGCGTGAAGTCATCCGACCAACCGGGCCGAGGGGATCGAGTGATCAGCTCGGCAGTCTGGATACATCCCTTCTTTGAAGTGCCGAGCCATGGCCCAGTCCCAGGCTTCAAGGCCATGTACCATACAGGTCTCCAGGCATGTGGAACTTTCTTCCAACCCTTCCATTCCATCGATGGGTTCTGGGCGGTACATGGCTCTTGGCAGAACATACACCATCTCTGGCTGGAGCTGTCTGTCGCCAAGTCCATGTTCGGTGGCGACATGTGTTCTTGGCCGCTCGCAGAAAGGGAACAAGAATGAAAGGTCCAGACTATCTTGTTCCAAACGCAATGCTTCAGGTTACACAGACTGTGTTTGAGGTTATACAGACTGCTTGCCCTTCGGCTTAACATCACTTGATGCTGAGGTCAGCCCAGCCTCGGCCACAAGGGAGGATCACTCCGGTGCTCTCGAATGTATTGGTGAAGTAGAGACTACCTTATTCCAACAGAAGCAACATTCGCACTGTCTTTCTCCTGAGACTGTGTTGCAAGAGCGTTTAGCTATGAGCCTATTAGGGCAATGCTCTTTGGAGCTCAGCGGCTAAGGCGATTCTTGTCAGCACATCAATGATCCCACCAGTTTCAAGAACCATAGACGACAGGGAAGGCATAACCTTAGGTCGGTCACTATGGATTCCTGAAGCCTTGAAGATATCAGGCTCATTCAGTAAAACGATATGGTGGATGGAAAAGAGCCTTGTATCGTCGAATGTATCTTCCAAGTGACAATCCGGTGGCGATAGCATTTCTTCCAATAGTTTTGCTACAATCACGATTCTCACTTGAATGAATTCCGGATCACACTTTGAAAGGTTACACCATATCACGTCACCCGATTTCAACAACCTTGCCGACTTATTGCGTCATCGCACGAGGTACCACGAGGTACGGGAAGAAAAGCTAAGTGATGTACATCGGCCCAGAGTTGAGGTTAGCTCCAAGCTTCCACAGAAGCATTCACCAATTGACTTGGAACTTGAATCCCACGGACTGTAAGTATTAGAAAAGGGAGCAAGATATCAGGCAAGTCGCATGGAATAAGAATCGTGGTCTTGGAGCTTTGATGTGGCGTCAAATTATGCGTGTGGCCAACCACGACTCCAAAACTTCACGATACCAAAATATCGTCCCAAAATCGAGAAAAAAACATACAACACCAGGTATTCGCTGGTCGTCACCGACCCAACTACTAATCCGGCCCTCATTAGCTTGTCTATGGGAGAGCGGACGGGATCCCGAATTTTCCAATGGGTATGGTCGTATGTGATAGCTAGGGGACGCTGGACGGACTAGGACGGCAGTTCGGGTGGCCTGGCGTAGAATAAAGCTTTCTAGAACCTATAGACTTTTGTTTCTGTGACCTAATCTTGAGCAAGCAATGTTCTTTGCTTTGTAATAACTATGTGACTAGGCACAAGTTTACAGATCATCAACCAAGGGGCTTAGTCCTTGAGCGGAGCCAATCTTGCTCTCAAAGAAAAGCTTCAGTCTCTCCACGCGCTCACGATCCGCCATGAAACGCTCAAAGTCGATCGGATTGGTCGAGTTGACATCCATCAGATCGGGGAAGCCAGCAGGAGCAGGAATATCTTTGCGGACGCTCCACATGCCGGTATTATTAGGACTCTGGTACTCCTCGCTGAGCAAAAAGTTGTGAAGAAGCTTCGCGCCCTCCTTGTGGGGGGCGTCCTTGAGAATCGCAGCGCGCTGGCCCCAGGTCACGAAGAAACCATTCTTTGGAATAGAAACGTTGAAGGGGGCAGTAGGTGCCAGGCCGAGAGCACCGGTGAAGGTGACGGCGTATGAGTTGTTGGCCTGGCCCATGACGGTAGTCGGGGTGGCAGTGCCGCGGACCCACCGAGGGTTTTGGGCGAGGAGGTTCTCGAACCAACTGTATCCATTCTGCTGCATACTGCTACCGATTAGTACTCGTGTAGAGAGGAGGGACTTGACAAAGGTAGTTGCTTACGCCAGGTCGAATGCATAAAGAACGGCATCATCATCGTTCGGGTAGGTAAAGACCAACTTGTCTTTGTACTCAGGCTTCAAGAAGTCTGAGTACTCGATAGGACCTTCGGACACCTTTTCGGCATTCCAGATGTTGGTCCATCCAAAGACCACAACGGCGTACCATGAAGCCCATACATCGCGGAAGCCAGGGTGGATATTGTCAAAGTCCAATGGCTTGTAGCGCAACAAAGCACCTTCTTGATCCCATCGGGGATAGTCATGAAGGGTCTGAAGAATTACGCTGTCAACGTAAACGTTGCCTTGCGACAGCTGGCGGTCGATGTCGCCATCGATGTACTTGGAGATGTCGACGGTGAGGTTGAGAGTCATCCCCGGAAAGCGCTTCTCGAAAGCTTCCTTCAGGGCATCCTGCTGGGTCTTCTCATCACCTCCGTGCCAGAGAGTAACCACACCCCCTTCAGCAATAGCAGCCTTGTGAATCTCGTCGATGTTGCGGGTTTCGACTTCGGGGGCACCGTGAAAGTTGAGGAGGGTATCATAAGCTGCCACAGATGTAGCTAGTGCAGCCGAAAGAACGAATGTGGGCAGAACCATTTTGGATTGGGACTTCAGTTGGCTTTGTATACAAAAGAGTGACGATGGTTTAAGATGGTGTTAGAGTAGCATTCCTATGCGGCGGATCCTACCTACTTATATCTAGTTACATGATGTGTATATACTAGGCACTAGACAGTATTGGCATTAGGGGTTTCGATTTTTCATCGTGCATTGCGTTCCGAAAGCCGAGCAGGCCTCATGTTCCGAAATCCACTACACCGATTCATGTAGACTGAAGTTGGCTGTTTTCTTCCAAGTTTGGTAAAGTACATTACACATGACGCGATCCAGATCGTTGGTATCCCGGTAAGTTGCCTACCCCTTCCTAACGTCACTGCACCCCGGGCCGAGCTAAACCCCAGTCTTCGGATGAACGTAACCACTCAGCCCTCTTTGCCATGGGTTCCCAAGGTGTGGTCTCTCGGTTACGCTTGTTGTGACTTGTGACCAATGTTCATGCGTGGGGTGCTCGTATCTTGGGTCACATCGCCCCTTTGGACATACCGCAGTCTTCTAGTGCGCCATTGCAATGGTGTACTCTGTCATCGGTATGAACGAAGTGAGAAGGATTTCGGTCACGCCGCAGCGATCAGTCATCTATGTTTAACAGCGAATTGTATCCTCTCTATGAGCTAGGGTACTTATGTGACACTCGTCTTTGAACGACGACAACTGAGTGATACCGGTTCCCAAAGCTGGAGTAAAGATGTCTGTCACCTGCAACAATGGCCTCGGAGTCAGTGATGTGTCCAGAGGTTCAAGTCTGCTATGAATGCACACCGTATACACTAAGAACACTGTGCTCTGACCCAAAATCCAACATCAAGTCAATAAATAATCTTGACGTAGAACTGGGCAGTACTAGCACGCCGGTGGGAACCGCGCGGGTTCGCAGGGATCTCCTAATGTCTGGAGGCATTAAGCAGATGTGGGCGGATGTCGATCAAGGATCCTTGCAGCCCAGCCAGGAGAATGAGGCCTTACCGCAATTGGCAAAACTATCCAGACACTGCTGGCCTCGAACACGATGTAATGCAAGCATTTGCGTGCCTTCGATGTTGGTAGCTGTACCATTTCCTTGGTATTACTCAACGAATTCGTCTGATTATTGGTCATCTTCAAGAGAAAATAATCAAAATACATCCGCGAACGGTCGATGTCTTACGGTGACATTTTAGGGGCCGCCTTCACCCGAAGAATGCGCAGGTATAAGCCAACAAGCCCATTTCATGTAAGTCGTCGCCGACGCTTTGGTTTTCAAAGTGTTCCGTCAATTGTTGAACATGCGAATTTGGAGAGGCACGATTTTTCATACTCAAATGCTGAGGGCTTGATGCCAGACCACAGCACTCAACGGTCCCCGCGCGCTCCGCACCGTGACAGTTGCCAGGACCATATCAGAGCAGCAACAGGAACGCTAAGCGAGTCAAGAATGGCACCACATCATAGACAGCCAACCGCCGAGTGGTTTCCTCTGGTAATCATCGCAGGGCTGTGCTGAATTATCAGCCTCACTCGTAATACACTGATCTGCCCAATGGAACTGGTTATTGAAGTACTAAATGACGAGGTAGGCCGATACATTCCAGCTCTATCTAACCGCGACCCATGCCGCATAATCCTGCTCCAACAGGGGCTTTTGGTGATCAACGCAAGGATCATTTAAGCTTGGTATAGTGGTAGGAGAATTTCTACGAAAGTAATCTTGCACAAACCTTCTCTTTGTTATGATAAGCAGCTCATCTCAGTTATCAACAACAGTATCTGTCCGATGATACACCGAGAATCCAAGACTCACTACTGTCACAATGCGCTCATGCAAAGAAAGCCCAGTAAGTTGGATCAACCGCCCCAAGACATGAGATCATATCAAGTTCAGTAGTCTAACCGTCTAACGCAGCAGCAACTCGTTTGAGGCCTTCCAACAGCAGCTCTTTGTTGTTCGAAAACACGATCCGGAACCATCCCGGCTGCTCAGCGCCAAACTGCTTCCCAGATGCCAGAAACACCTTCTTGTTAAGCAACGCGCGCATCACTTCTGTGCTGATATTCTCAACTTCTACACCCGGACGGCGCTCGCGATAGGCTTTCCCGAGATCAACCCACAGGAAGAATGCGGCATTTGCCCCGGGGGCGTATTTGATCCCGTTCTCTGTGACCCAGTGAGCCACCAGATCAAAGTTTTCTCGAAGCTTGCGCTGGTTCTCGTCGATGTAGCCATCGACCCACTCGCGGTCATCGAGGATGTTAGCGGTTGCATGGTCCGTGAGTCCGGAAGGTGAGCTGTAGATGCCGACGGGGGTCAAAGAGCTGTGGAACGACAGATTGTGCTGCGAGATTATGGCTCCGAGTCTGAGGCCATTTGCACCAAAGTCTTTGGACATTCCCCAGAGAACATGCAGTCGATGGGCGTCCATGATGTCTATTGTGCTAATGGAGAGACAGGATTCGAAAGGAACCGGCGCTGGCTTCGTATCGATTGTGTTTTCCCAGACAGAGAGAGCATATATCTCATCACTGATGAGATGCATATCGTACTTCTGGCACAGCCGCATCAATTCGATGATGGTCTCCCGCGGGTAACAACGCCCAAGAGGATTGTGGGGGTGACACAGGATGAGAGCGGCAATTTTGGTCCCCTTCTCCCTGGCAGACAGCAATGCCTCCTCGTACTTCTGAACGGCATCCAATCCGAACGGGTCAACATCGTGGAATGGAACCTGTACTAGCTTGCAGCCCGTCCGATACTCGACGTCCGGAAGGAACGCTCCGTAGTGGGGTTGACCGAGGAGGAAGCCTTCATCAGGGTTGCCCAACGCCCAGCAAAGATGTTCTATCGCCGAACTACAACCATTGGTGACGGAGATATGTTGCGCTTCGATGGTCGTCACTGGGTGAAGTCGCTCTGTGAGGAAGCGCGCGAGTGATGCCTTCAGACGCTTGGAGCCCGTCATGCCATCGCCGTACGTGAACGAGTGGTTTGGAACTGCTAGATTCTCGTGGATGTGTTTCGACAGTCTATCGTGCATGAGAGTATTTTCCGCGATTCCCAAGCTCACATAGCCTTTGGGATTTGATTCCGGATCCCAGAGGTCCTGCACGATTTTCCACAGAAGCATGCCATCGTCCGGCTTGGCTGCGATGCTGCCGCGAGTTGAAAGACCGTGGCTCATGGCTGTGTCGGAAGCTATAGGAGAAGAAAGAAATGGCTGGATTAAACAGAGATCGACTTGGAAGAGGAGATAAATGCATCATCTACGATAAATGAAGAATGACTCAGTCGTGATAAGGCAGGTTGTGAGGGCAATAATTCGTCTCATTCCCCGCTCATAAGAACCCTTCAGGCGCAACTAGTCATGGGTATGCATGGATGCGGGGTTGCGGGCAGAAGCTCCACGAAGTTCTCCTTCGACCAAGGTACGCTAACACGGCTCATTTTCTGGTTTCCTGTTAGGCACGGAATATCATGTGAATAAATACACTGTCACTTATCAAGAACATTTAATTCGACTTGCTTGGAGATTGGCGCCGGGAAGTAGCCTCTGAGGTTGTCATATAAATCAGCTCATGGCCATGAGAATTTGCGGCGGAGGATCTGTTCTTTTACTCACGAGGCCCCTTCTGCACATAGCGACTTCTTGCAAACGCCATATCGAAGACACCTAGAGAGGTTCTTTCAATTGAGGTTAGCTATGAGTACAAGAGATTGAGCTGCCGGAATCCATGGATAATTATCAACGACTGTAAATTACCAGTTACGTCGTCTAGGTTCACAAATGCCATCAACTGTCTCTGCCTCCGGGACTGTAGGACGCGAACTACATATTTTAAGGTACGCGAGCTGAATTATGAGATTCCTCAAGTCAGACAGAAATTTCGATCTCCGTTACTGCACAGAAGCAGGTCGACTAGCCCCGCTCTGATAGAGCGAGTTGTCAATCTTCTATGGAAATCCACACATTCGCTAACAAGCCACATCTGGTAACCTTTCATAGATTCACTCTCTTCTTTTGGTAAATTTATCCAATAGAAATATCAAACAGACACTTTTCAATATCTCCTGTCGGGTTGTCGTGGTAACCGTTAGCCTCACGCGCTTGGCGGTGCTCTGAGTCCAACAGATAATGATGCCGAACAACCTAAGACGCTATCAAGCGCTACATCGCGTCTCAATCTCCATCAACTTGATGAAAGCAGAGCAATGGGACTTTGAAGGAGGTCTCTTGAGAAACTATTGTCCTAGGAGCTTTCTTAGAATCTTCTACAGACCACCACACATAGATTGCTATACATCGCTAGACCAACTGAACTAATCCACGATCTTCTTAGACAACTGACTATGACCACGTGCTAGCTAGTCAGGGTCTATCGGACTTATCAGAGGTCTTCTTTACATCAAAGACTATTGTACAAATGCGAGGCCCAGAATATTTAGTTGACCGTCTCATGGCTTCGATGGCGCCAAGTATCACTCCCTGAAAGGCTATTGAAGAATGTCAAAAGTCTGCAAGACCTAGCCATCAAATACAACGACTTCTGAATCTGGGCGTTAATCACGGTACGTGAACTTCAACAAAAATGCTAACAAAATGACATTCAACGTCGACGTCGTGTGAAGAGAGACATCATGTGGAGAGAAGTCGTCGTGAAGCACCCTCCCTAGACTGATGGAAGTTCATGCTATTAAGCATTTGACCCAAGCAACACGCACTGATAGACTCACCAAGTGCCACAAACTGACCATCGTTCTGGTATGATGCCGACATCTCTCCATTTCCTCTCCAAGTTCACACTCCGAGACTGAGCTCGAAGTTCTAGGTGTTTAAGCTTCCCACGGTCTTGAGCAAATCATTAATGACACGGCCAACCATAAACTTGTCAAGCATCATGCTTCACTTATGCCATCCTCCAAGCAATCCAGATCATCGGAAAGTTCTAGTTTAGACCGCCAGCTATGTTAAAAGCCAGCGTTGCACAGTCCGTCAATAAACAGCAATGTTCCTTGTCTATGTCAACGCCTCGTTCTTGAGCCGCAACATGTGCAGGTCCATGGATGGATGTCCAATCATGAGCCCAGCTCCTCGAGGGATCTGAGTAAGCCGTCTTTTCTGGGAGCACTTTGTCTACTGGTTGAGAATATCTGACGAAGCTTTCTGTTAGTTCTCCCTAATCCCTTTGCGCAAAGCCCCTCATCAAGACAAACTCGCTACCACGTGTCAAGCGCCGAATCATCTTCTGCAGTGAACTCAATACATGTTCTCTAGCAATAAAGCATACTAGCCCCTTTCTGCCGCCATCGAGGTTGAAGTTATTCGCAGACCGACAAACACCTCGCCGAGCCCATGATCGTGATCCTCACCAACCCGACCTCAAGCCATGACCTCCACCCAATATCTCCAAAATCCATCCCCGGCATTTCAGCTCTGAACGACCCCCGCAAACTCACTTCATCCTTCCAAAACTCTCTTCCAGAAAAGCCTGGACCAACTCAAGCAGAAGACCCTCCACTCACGCCGCACGGTAGCAAATCCCTCTTCTTCACCACCATCGGAAAACCCAATCCCCAATCGAAAAGAAAGAAGCCGCCCCGAATCCCGTTCCCGCCGTCCGCACGAGCATTCCCATCAATGCCATTGACAAAACCTGTCACTGGTTCTCCTTCTCTAAACTCTGAAGCGGTTTTCTTCTACCATATCTCAAGTTCCCAATGTGCCAAGCAATCTTCCACTACTTCATTCGGGATATGCTCGACACTTTTGCCAAAAAGAACCTTGTCCATTTCAGACTCTGCCAGCTTTCGCAAACCAATCCTCCAATATCACCAAAATTTCAAACCCCGTCCGGTGAGGTCACACTCCCCTCCCGCCCATGAAACAAACGCCACCCCGCCATCAGCTGAAAAAAAAGAATCGTTTACCCCTCCCCCCCTTCCCCCCCTCCCACGAATCAAACCAACAAACCATACACATAAACAGAAATTCAAATAAAGTTCCGGCTACGGTTTCGCTTGCCGCTCGTCAAATACAGAAGTCGACACGCTGGTAGCTTCGTTCATATAATCTTTGACCCTTCAAACACGGGACTAGGATAAACGACTCTCAGGGGATCCTTTCCCAAGTCATTCCCCGTTGAAATGACGACATCTCACTCATGGCCCACGAGATCAACGACCACCAAAAACGATGGGAAGTAAAGTGATTACCTCAAACTTTCCACCCCCCTAATGTCAAAACTCTCGATTGATGGATGGCGCTTTCCGGTAAACCTCAAATGCCAATCGACCTGAGTTTCCTCCACGTGCCCCTCCAAGCAAAGACCACCAATCGATCTCGTCTGTCGCCCCCTTTTGCAACCCCCTTCAAGGAACTCAAATTGCAACCCCCCAAAGCGTCCCCCTTTCTATCCTTTACCCTGTCTTCTGCACCCCCCATTCCTCTCTCTCGTACCAGTAGCCGTTAGTGAAATAGTACCGATGGGTCGGGACTGGGCTGATTCCACACGAATCGCAAAGTCTTGATGTGGCGAAAAGATGGAACTACGGGCACCGCGTCTAGGACCTGTGATATTGAGGCTGTCTAAGCACCGTGGGCTCCTTACTCTGGTTTAACAAGCGCAATGCCGCGCTAGGTTCAAATGACTATGCCGACTCAACCAGCATCTACTGCAGTTTACCGGCTCAGTGATTAGGTCATGTTAATTGAACGCGCCGCCAAGGGCTCGTTATCAAGCTTCCATACTGCCAAGCCATCGAGAATCACAGTCACCGAAATTGTTTGTCCAAGTGATGCAAGATGTTTGTCTTCAAATCCAATACATATCCAGGGAATCAATATTCACACAGAGCAGTAGACGTAGTGTCCAGGTATATATCCCAAATAGAAAGACAACAAGAACGCCCGACTGTGTTCCTCCCGGTACTGCTCACATCTGATGAGCATACTACACACATTCCGAAAAACCACCCCAGTGAATGCGCCGAACCAATCCTGATGAGGATGCGTTGATAGGTTTTTTTAAGGTGTCGTCTCAATGATCCATAATCATGATGCAAAAAGTAATTCGAGTAGGTCCTCTCCCAAGTCTTCGTCATCCAAGTTTCTCATCTTAAGTCATCTCATCTCCTCCAAATTTGTGACAATTCTTTTCTTCTGTGATATTACAGCATTATGTTCAGTTGATTTGCGGGTGGACCCCATCCCGTCGAAGGGTAGGCAGAGCGTCCATTCTCAGCTCGACGGGAGGGCGTTGGATCTCCATGCTGCGGCTAGGTGCGCGCCTGCCGCCGGGTGTGCGGGGATGCGCGACATTGACACGTCCTCCGCGCTCCGTAATACGGGCAGGACCTTCATCCGAGTCAGAGTCTTCCTCGGGTTCGTCGTAGCCGTAGTCTGCGAGCCGTGCAAAGTAGTCCGCCATGCCGTCGACGCTCGGCGTGCCGACAATGACATCGTACTGAGGCGGGGGTGTTTGAAGCGGGAGTTGGTCGTTCTCGGCGGGCGGTGGGGGGATTTCGGCGTCAAACGCAGGCGGGTTGTAGGAGGGCACGCGAAGTAGGTGGATGGGTCGGGGATGCGTGTCGGCGAGCGGGTCGACCGATGTCTGGGAATTCGGCGGCGATGACCGGCCGGTGCCGCCGGTCGTAGGTTGCGGCGAGGAGGGAAGATGAGCGGCTTGCGGAGGCGCAGGAAGGTTGCCAGGCGCCTCCATGACGGTGAGAGCGCCGGTCGATAGGTTGTTAGGTGAGCCCTCAGAGGGACCAGAGATGGTGACAGCATCGGGGCAGCCGCAGGAAGTGTGACGGCTTTGGTTCAAGCCCACATCGGGGCCAGAGTATTCGGGGAGGGAGGTGTTGGCCTGAGTGGCGCGGCAGTTGAGTACCGTAAACGGTGAGTCAATGCTGATCTCAAAGTGACGGCGTTTGGTACCGGTGGGATCCTCAGGATCGAGGCGGGAAATCCGCATGACGATCTAGGATGATTTTGTTAGTCTTTGCAAATCATTCAATGGACAGTAATCGTCTTACCTTGATCCAGTGGTACACGTTGACATTCTTCCAACTGCAATCAGGGTGCAAACGCATCTCCTTGCTCTTGGCCATGGTCTCACAAGTCGGCAATTGAACGTTCATTTCGATCTCGGTAGACCCCCAGTAGCTCTCCAGCCCAAGGTCCAGATCACCCAAAATGTTGTCCACCGGTTCGGGAAGAGGCTCAGGCATCACGCCGTGTCGGGAGGCATCGGCTGCGCGCCGCATAGCTGCAGATTCCCGGGCCTCCCGGCGTTGGCGGGGCGTGAGCTCGCCACCATTGAGCACGCGAACATCCGACGACGCATAAGCAGGGTCCAGTGGCTTGCCGGCAGTCTTCTCGAGCAGGAGGATCTTCCTGCCCGGGTCTTTGCGAGTAACCCTGCGGTCGTTGGTCCAGTACTCGATCGACTCGGTGACGAAAACCTTGAGCTTATGAACCTGTACCTTCGCAAGCGGCGTGAGCTTGAAGGCAATCGGGATCTTGGTGCCCAAGGGGAACGATTTGCCCGAAATAATGATGTCGTAGTGGAGTTGATCCTCCCATTGTCTGCTAATCGAGATGGGTTCCGTCATTTCGAGTGAGAGCTGATCCGGCACGCGAACGATGGCGACTTCCTTGGACCCGTGCAAGTTCGGCTTGAATGCTCCAGCTCGCTCAACGGTTGCCTGAAGCTCCCACTTCACCGAGCCATACTGGAGCTTAGTTGTCTCCAACTGATGGTGGTCGATGGGCAGCTCAAAGGTGTACTCGTACGTGCCTGGGTAAAACACCTTGTAACCCTTTGCCTGGTTGCCACTCGGGTTGTCGCCCTTGCCAAAGCTTCTTGATTGATTTGACTGCAGAGACAGACGCTTCAACTCCTTGGCCGTGAGACCCTGTCGGTTGGGCGGTATTGAGAGTAGCGAAGGCGACATCGAATTGCGGGGTGAGCTGGAGGCAAGGTTGGTTGAAGAAGAATTCGTGGAGCTATTCTTCAATGTGTAGACACACTGGTTGCCGTACTCGGTCTCCCACCCGTCGTTCACGGCGTTGAAAAAGGTCAAAACCTGCGTGCGCAGTGACTCCTCCTCGTACAGATCGACTTTCAAGGGAGGAATTCCTTCGGGCCATTCGGTGCGGGCCTTGCCCACCAACTTCAAGCTCACGCCTTTGATCTTAATGTTCTTCGTGACCTTCAGTTGGAGCTTTCCGCGCAGGAGAGCTGTGCCACCTTGTGAGTGTTGTCTGTGGCCATCGTGATCGAATCCAGTGAGGAAAATGTTCGGTTCGGCCATCAAGATCGAGCAGCTAACGCCGCTGCCGTGGGCAACAGGCTTGGGGATCTCGGTAACCATTGATGTTACGTTACTTTTTGCGCTCCGTACTGACATCAAGCTATTTCGCTGCCCGGGTGCGTTGTATGTAGAGCTCATCAGAGGCGGTCGTAGGGCCTCGGCCATGGCGGCAGATCGTAGCGCCATTGTGTCTTCGTCCGGAATCACCAAATCTACTTCACGGTAGGTAGAGAGTCGATTGAGAATGCTCGCGGCTCTGCTGGGTGGCCTTGAGAGCGTAGGCCTGGAGAGTGTGGATGCGCGCGACGTAGAACGACTCGGCACTTGTTTTTGAGAGAGGGAAAAGAATTGCTTGATGCTGAACTTCAATGAAGTCTTTCCCAGCGCTGTTGTAGTTGGGGATACTGCTTTTGACGGCTTCCTCCTCTTGACGGGGCGGTCTGGCTGTGGCCGTAGTTCGTGGGGTACAAAGCCCGAGGGCCACGAGGTGATGTGTATTGATCGCGGTCTTACTTGGCGAGCGCGAATGGGCGGCGTCGGTAGGCGATTTTGTTGTGTAGCGGGAGGATCGAGAAGATATCTGGGACAGTAGTAGACGCCGCCTCGGGTGGATGTGGGAATCCAGTTTTCCGTACGCCGAGATCGCTCCGAATCTGTCATGGTGGCCGGCATTGTTAGACACCACTGGTTGGAAAAAACATGTAGCGTGTGGCCGAGTGACAAAGAATTCGGAATCACTCAGCCAGAATGTGGGCGCGGTATGCAGAGTATGTATAAGAAATAGGAAAAAGAGGTTGAGGTTTAAGGTATGGAGTTTTAGAAAGGGCGTGTGTAAGGGAAGTTTCCTACCGTCAGAGACAATAGGAGACTGGCCTGGGGTACTGGGCAGATTAGGTGCATGAGATGGTTCTATGCGCTGGCAAAAAGCAAGTGAGGGTATCCATAGGAAGAGGAGACGAGGATGTGTAGGTCGGGTCAAGGAGTGTCGGGCATCGAGGCGAGTTAGGGATGATGGGGGTTTGAGGTGGGATGCAGGGTTGACCGTGATAATGTGCAGCGGTGATGGGACACGGCGCGGTGCGAGCACTTGCTGCACATAGAGAGACAGGCATGGGGCATAAGAAATGCGTCGTCTTGGTCTTTGGAGACAAGACTACCGGCCGGTAAGGTATAGAGAGGTACAACGAGATGGAGATGGCGCTAGGCGGGCCGGACGGGCAGCCTCAGAATGTGTGGGAAAGGTACTAGAAGGAAAATGCAAGACGTACCGATTGAGCAGCGTCAGAGTCAGGCGTGCATGCGATCAGTCAGTGACAAGAGCCGGGGGGAGGCTTAATCACATTCCACCCTCGGACCTCTTGAAGGAAAAGCAAGATCTCTGCGTCTTGTTTGGCAGGAGAAGAAAGTCTAGTTGCTAGGTACAACGGGAAGATCAGTACGGCATGCGGGTGCGGGTGCGGGATGAGGTGCGTGTGAGTGAGTGTGTGTGTGTGTGTGTGTGTACAGGAACAAGTAGTAGCCGTGGTGGGAAGAGGAGGGAAGAGAGATCAGAAGGAGGGGAGAAAGTGTGGGATAGACGAGAGCAAGGTGGGAACGAGCATCGAGAGTCTCCAATCGAAGTCCAATTTTCATCCAGTCCCGGGGCGGCCAGGTCAAGTCGGCAAAGATACCGCAGGACACACTCACAAGTCCGGACCAGTCAGGCTCCGTCCGTGTTGAATGGATGTCTCAAGTTTTACCTTCTGACTGCCTTGCCTCAGTAAAGTGATGATGGGGAGCCCCGCGCGCAACGCCACTCGACCTGCTGAAAGCCTGAGAGGCCTGTGAAGATACAGAAGGGGGGTGTGAGCGAGGATTCCGTGACTGTAGTGACTGGTGGGGGAAGAACGATGAGATGGGCCAGAGAATCGATATCGACGAGTGAGATGTTCACGACAGGGAAGATGTCGACAACGATGAGGGGTGTAGGATGGGAGAAGAAGGGAGAGGCAAGCGAGGGCGAGGCGAGGCGGTTAGAGTCGATGACCCGGGAACTGCCCCTGTTCAGGCGGGGGGAAGATGGATAAGTGAAGTGGTAGGCAAGAGCTAGAGTCCAGCAAGGCGAGCGAACAGCAAGAAAGGTACAGTTGAGCGGAGCGCACGTACGGTGAAGAGAACTGGCGTGAGAGTGAGAGTGAGAGTGAGAGTGAAAGAGACAGAGGCGTGGGCAGGACAAGCCGGAAGACTAGGTACGGCAGGGTAGAGCGGCCGCTATGGTTCAGTGTTGCGACGGTATCCCGACCTCAAAGTTCTGGATGCCGAATGGAAACAGTGGGAATTGGCTTCGTCGCGCAGCGTATCCAACGAAATAGTGGGATTGGTTGCGACGGCAGACTCAAGTAGCGTGCAAGGATGCTGTCAGGCGGGGGAAGAGATTCTGCGACGCGGTCGCGGTGAGTGGTGTGCGGTGTGTGCGGTGTACGCCCTGTGTGTCCCCTCTTCCAAGGATGGATGACTTGCGAGCTTGATTTGGGGCGGAGGAACAGTACAAGAGGGGCCAACGAAGGACGGATGGACTTCTTCTCCTTCTTCTTTGGTTTGGCTCTCGCAAGAAAAGATGAGGCGACGGGGGGTTTGTTATGGGTTGAAATGAGATGGGACGTTTGGGAAGAGGGGAAGAAGGAAAATAGTGAATAAGGTAAAAGAGCAGGGCAGGGGGTACGTAGGCAATAGGCATAGCTTACAATGGCGGACGAGGCGGGACGAGATGGAATTGAACGTCTGAGTGGCGTGGGCGATTAGTAGCGAATGTCTACGTAGGTTCTAACTGAAGGTATGTCGAGGTTGTGGACTGTTGCCCTCGGGTATAACGGGAGACGAAGGATAAGACGGGACGGCTGAGGAATTCCAATGCGATGGCTCTGGCAATTCGTGTGTGTAGTTGTAAGAGGAAGAAGTGTACAGATATTTACAGACACCAGGAAAAGGACGGCACGCAGGATGAGGTGAGGTATTCGTAGCGCGGAACCGATGGAAGAGACGGCATTGGCAACCATGGAAGTTGGCTGCATGCGCAACTATTACCTGTCAGACCTTTCCTCAGTACGTAAGGCAGTCTGAATCAACTAGGTATAGAGCCCAATCCAATTCAGTGTGGCCGTGGGCAACGGCAGCACTTCATAGCAGACTTTCTTCGTCTTCCTCCCAAGCATCCGCAGGCCAGCCGGATGTTCAGGAAGTCCCTGGTCGAAGCTTGCGTGAACGGATGATCAACCTATGATGTATTCAAGGTCTTGGTAAGACCCTGGTTGTTCCCTTTAAAATTGGGTTTTTGTTTTTTTCTTTAAATTTCCAGTGTCCGCAGCTGCTCGTTTCCAATAGAAGGGCAAGGGACTTCTGAATTGTGGCTCCGCGCTGGGCCGGGCTCGGCTTTGCTGGGCGGATACCAGTTGTCTGGCGTCCTGCGCTTGCATCTGCCCGTGTCTTGCTGGAGATGCAGGTAGTGGTGCGAAACAGGGAGTGATGACGGTGTCAAAGTGAATGTCTTTCTCGTCTGCGTCGTGTGAGTAACCTGTGGCTACGCATAGCCGGGGATGACTGGGAATCCAGCCAAATGCGAAAAGGGAATGCGGATTAGCGTGGCGAGTGGTTGGTGGAGTTTGTATTCGTGGCAGTGTGGCTGGTGCCCGACAAGAAAGACTCTATTCGACAACCAGAGTGTCAGCAGTCTGCTTTCTGCACATGCCAAGTATCGGCAACTTGCATGTACCAACTTCATCTCCAAGCCTGCCATTCTGCATGTCTGCATGTCTGCCAATAGCTCTGTGGCTCTCTCTCGTTTTGACATGAAGCACGACGTACTCGGTACAGACAGTTGTGACAGTCTCGAATCCCGTATGGTCGCTGCCCAGGGCACACCAGGGATGTTATCGAACCATGCTTACCACCTACTCTTTATCGGGACTCGATGGCAAGCAAGACCTTGGCAGGTCTATGCGATGAGCCGCGATCCAAGGGCGTAGCCGCAGGCAATATCGGGCAATGATGCGCCTACGTGAAAGGTATGTCGTCCGTTGACGAGCACATCGTGATCCAAGTTTCGATATAGGGGCACCCTTTCTTCCTCCAGCCGTTATTGCTGGTATCCTTCTGGAAGATGAGAAGAAATGCTTCGGTAGTCACTCCAACGTGGTATCCTCCAGTACGGGCGTTATCAAGTATCATGCCGCGGCCACCAAAAGTGTCTATGTGCCGTGTCAGCGCGTCTATTGCGTCCTAGTGCCGTTGTAGTCTCAACTCTGTTCTGCCTCTTTTTGACAGATCAACGTGATCTGGTACCAAATTAGTTAGGCGATGAGCAGATCCCCCCGTCTGCCGAGCTTCGGCATACGTGCCGGACTTTTTGCCCGCCAACTGACAAATGATCAAATGCTGGTTACTGAGCAACATCTTCCAGGCCCTATCGCTCGAGTAGTGAACGATGATTGCCGGTGTAATCCTTCTTTCTGCTTATACGCAGGCATTCCGTGATCCCATACCCAAGACTCGGCCCGCAATTCATGGCTGCGGAGCCAAAACGACACCTGTTGATGTTTTCGTGGGTACGTATCATTATCGTTGAAGGCAATGCCAAAACACACGACTTGATGGGATGGCTGGACTTCTGGAGGCCTGGCATGAGTATCAAATGTCCCTGACTTTCTGTGGATGGCCGCCGCGGCGCCGAGACTTCCAAGAAGTCCAAGGACCAAACCCCAGTAAACCCTGCGTGCCCTGGCTGTCCTGTGAGATCTCCACGCCACCCTCATTGGTCCTTTGGAGAGTCATGCGCCACACTCTCTTGGAAATCGCCTTGTCCGAGTCATCTTGCGAGAATAATGGGTGTCGTCCCACTGAGATGTTTGACGGTCTGAAGGTCTGACACTTGACAGTGAGAGAGAGAGAGAGAGAGAGAGAGAGAGAGCGTGTGTGTGTGAAAGGATGAGATGCGGCGAAGGGCAACGCAACACATTACCGCTTGCTCAGAGGTCGAAAGCAGGGGAATTAGTCGTGACTCTGGAACTTGGTCGTTTGCTTGTGCACCAGTTCCCAACCGTGTGGCGCCAAACGGCCATGTTTCACTCGCACGCCCGTTTGCATCATGGCCTTCTCCATCTCCTATTCTCTCGCATTGAGACGTAATCTCTGCCATCTCAACTCTGGTGTTCCAAACCGTAAGATCCGGGCTGGCTAGGCTAACCTTGGGCTCACTGCATTGAGACTAGTGGCTGGGGTATCAACAGGGGACCACGCAGCACAGAGAGTGCAGTTCAAGGTCATGAGTGGCTCTGTTCCTTGGAACAAAGCTGTTCTAAAGCACGCCTAATCGGAAAAGAGGTACACTTATTGCGGAAGGAGGGTCTTTTGGCTTCTTGACTCGACATGGGAAACCCCAGGGCAGCAATATGCCACGAACTGGCCAGCGACTTGCGAGCGGTGAAAATGGCAGGGCTGACGATGGCTGTTGAAGAAGGGTATCGAGGGTATCCTGGCGGGTTTGAGTACGATACTCTGCGATCTGTAGGCTCTTTGATTGAGGCCCAATAATGAGGTACCCATGGAATCCATCGTTGAGCTCGGATTGCTATGCTACACTCTGTATTCTGAATGTTCTCGCAATACTTTTGACTCCGGGTAGGCACTGTAGAGAGTTGCTGGCTCACTCGAGAACTCTGAGTCCCCTGCAGCAGCCACCGCGGCGGCCGTTGAACAAAAATGCCAAGAGACACTTGTGTACGGAGTAGTCCCGGGTTGAGAAGCAGCGGAAGATTCACACCCGGCAGTGTGGGGAGGCGGAGATAGGGACAGTAAGCTTGTCAGCGCGCCAGGGCGGGCCGGTGCCTGATAGACGACCCTTAAAAGGGAGATGGGGATGATGATGACGGCACCTTTTTGCTGGGTGCGGCTGTCTGACATGGCAGCCAGTCAAGGGCCAGAGTCTCGAGGGCCACAGCATCCTGGGGGCGCCCAAGACAGGTATTTTGCTCGCAGCTTTTGGTTGACAGGCTTTTGCCATTTCGTAAGGGAGGGGTTGGCTATGACCTAGCAGATCGCAGACGCATCACTGCAACAGAGTGCGAGTCAACCAGAGATGCGCGTGTAAGGCAGGTCTCGTGTCCGGGTCGGTCTGGCGAGGCCATTAGATCAAGGCACAGAACAAACTCCAGAGTCTTCCTGGATTCGGAGAGATGGGTGAGTGAGTGCGAGCAGGCCTGCGGCAGGTTGGTCGCCCGTCGACGAAACAAGGCTCTAGCGCGAGATTTGGAGGTCGACAAGAAACAGTAGCGCGGTTATGCGGCATGCAGTTGGTTGCGAGTGGGTTGGTAGTACCGCAAGTAGCATAGCATGTGGTGTCTTGTGTCTTGTAAGTGCATGTGTGAGGATGAGTCTACGAGGTCGATGTCGAGCTAGCAACAGTCGAATAGATCAAGTTGTGAGCTGTGTGTTCCTCCAGTGCCTCCCCCTAGGTTGAGCTTAGCTGGGCGTCCACGTCTTGCTGGGCAAGGCGGGAAGGAAATCAAGGACAAGCCGACGCAAAGTGCGTCACCGCATTCATGGAGAGTGTTGAGCAGAGTTCTGGCAAGGGGTCTGAGGGTTCGAACTTCGCGGGTGAACCGAAGCAAAATCCAGACGCAGATCCGAGCGAGGCTTCTTGGAATAGACTCGAAGTCATCGCATGGTTCGAGTTCGTTTTCTCGCCTCCCCACGCGAAATAAGGTCAGCTAGTAGAGTTTATCTCTCGTCTCCTCAAGGACGGACTTCCGAGGGTTCGGCAGGGCCGGAAGGTCCACATTAGCGGTCGGTCGTCTTCCGAAGCCGGCCAAAAAAAAAAAAAAAATCATTGTTAGCTGATGGATGCATTTCAGGACTAGATGAAATCGAACACACACAAAGTAGCGAGGATGGGGAGGGGAAACCGGCAAAGGAACAGACATGCTGACTGATGACCGATGACCGAGGGATCATGAGCGGAAAGGGAAAGAAGCATATGGGGATTGAAAAAGTCGACTGGGAAGGTGTGGGGAAGTCGGCATCCACCACTCCAGCTGGCTGCAGCCAATGCCATGAATTCAAGATCGAGGATCGACGCCGCTGAGGTCATCAGCAGCTGGAGAGTGGGGCCGCGTGAGTCGCGGATTCGTAACCTCCTGCACCTCTGAGGAAGGTGCGGAGGAGTACGGAGTACCTACATAGTATGTACGAATAGGTATGCACATGCAGGCAGTTGTGCGGCATCTTGCTCCTGCTCCGCGAGAGTGCCGGCCAGCCGCAATTGATTGCATCAAGAAAGAGGCGGGAAGCAAGCAGCCACATATTCAAGTTTCAACAGGAAAGAAGCACAAGATTGAGGAAGCAGGTAAGAGTCACGGCAACATATTTCCGCATCGTCACTTCCACTTTTCAGGTTCACTGCAGGCTGAGGGACTTTGGTACTTTCGCAATGTCAGTAGGTGAGGTAGGTACATTTGACGTGCCTGCCACAAGCACTTTGGCACTTCCGCATCCGTGACGCCTACTCTGCTGCATTGGACTCCGCGGAAAGCTCGCCGCAATGCGACGTTGCTGCTGTCATGTTCATTGTCATCCGTGATAATAACGCACTATCCGATTTCTCACTTCTCCCCAAATGGCAACGACGCATTGTCAATGTCAATCCGCGTCCAATTGCGGCGGTCAGGGTCGAATCGTCCCATATTGCCATCTGGCGGGCGTAAAAGGCCACTGGGTAAGATCCGTACAGTCTACAGATTACAGTCTGAGTCGCCAAAAAACAATAAACAAACCCAGCTGGCATTATTGCCATGGGTCACCAACTATCAATCAAGGCACACGCAGAGTCGTATCCGAATCTTGGGACTAACGAGCCACCCGAGCTAGCTCACCGCAAATCTTCACGACAACAAACGACGAGTCCCATCATCCATAGGCTTGCCTCCCGTCAGTGTCACCCAGCACAAGGCGAACTAGTAGAAGGGATGCCTCCGCAAAGTGACTCGCCACAGCTTACCTGAGTACTCGCCTGTCAAGCCTCATCAAAAGGACTGGACGATGCGATATTGGGCTGGAGTCCTTGGAAAAACCTGAGACCAACACCAAGATATCGTGGGTACTCACTACTGTGCCTCATCGATCCACAAAGTCCCTGGTTCTTTACATCATGAGCCATCAAAGTTTTGCAGACCCCACGTCGTTCTTCAGTAGTTCACTCGTACACGGATACTTCCTCCTCCTCCTTCGCGGGGTGTCTTGGATGTAGGCGCCGATCATGGCTTTTCAAACCCCGGCATGCTAATAACCAACTTCAGCGGAGCCCAATAAACAGCCTCATCAACCATCCCACCACATCCACATTGCTGGTACGGATACAGCCTACGAATACAGAGCATCTCCACTCCATAATAGATCATCTTTTCTCTCCGGTTCTGCCTCCGACTGGGGACGTTGGGACTCAACGCCCAACGACCCCTCATCGCTCAAGTTCGAGACTCTGTTCTGTTTCCTCGCCGGCTTCCCCAATATGGCAACGCCAGCGGCCACTTTTACTGCGCTCGCCTCATTCGTGTCATCCGCTGCCCGTTTCTGTCAGATCTACGCCATGGAATCGACTGTCAGCGACGGATTCCATCTCCTCGAGATTTCCCCCTGGCAATGATTCCGCCCCAGTCATTGGGACCTCGCGCTAGGAACCTGACTAACCGTGCTAATTTTCCCCTACGCTGCTACGCGGGCGGAGGACAACGGTTTGGGCAGCCCTGATTATCGTATGCGTCGGGCATTACCGATCATCACAGTAGCGCCATTTACCTAGGTCTGAAGCTATGGAGAAAGCAGCTGGCCTCAACACTACAACGCTATCCGTACGGATACCTTGACAGAGTACGGATAACTGCGTAAGCTACCTTACGCTGCCACGGCAGTCTGCACCACCGAGCCAGAGCCGCAAATGACGATGTAAATCCGCCACGGGCGCTGTCCGGGCCGTGTAAGGCGCTTAGTGGGCTGTCTATAGAGGGCTAGACCCGTGCCCCCGGAGCTCCGGCATGACCGGTGGCATTCGTACTCTGAGGCTTCTGAGCTCCATCAGGTCGTGTCGGAAGCTCGTTTGACGCGGTACGCTGCTACCAAGCTACGGCCCTACGCAACTTGAATAGAGACGAGCAACAAAGCCGCTGCGCTATCGCGTTCGGCATGATATTGACAAGTCATCACCTCCAGTGGAACGCCCTGCTAGGTAATTGCCGTCAAATTGTTATTGCTCCACGTTCAAACAAGATGCATTAGATCGGCAAAGGCCCCAAAGCCTTTGCCTTGCTCTCGCTTAGACCCTGGAGTGAACCCGACGGACGAACTACCCCTGAATCGAGCAGGGCCGTCTGCCAAGTTTGTCGAGCCTTTTCTTTCGACTTGCAGAATGCATGCACTTTTGGTGCCTGAATCACCGATGTTGCGAATTCTGCGCCTCAATCTACCGCCGGCGTCGGGCCGCAGTAGTGCTTCCTCGGCCCAATGCGCGCAGCAAAACGCTGTCTCGCGTCGGCTCCGCCCTGGCGCCGGCAACTCTCGCCCGAAGATCAGCATTTCACACAAACACCATAGAGTGACGATCATGACCGTGTTTGGGAGCATCACAGGCTTCTTTTGATTTCTCGAAAGTAAGGAGTATTTCGGTAGGATCAGAGCTAACTTGGCAAGGTGGTGAATGTAATTCATAGGTAAATAGCAGCTTGACGGCGATCACTCCCACAATTACTCGCGCTGAATCTTACAACCCATCATGTTTGAAGCAATTTGCGCTGATTGGTCTGACCACTGTTGTAAAAGCTCCGATTGCTCGAAAGACTCAAGAAGAATCCAGCCGCCACGTTGCAGCCCTTCGTAGACGTGAGGGTGTCGATGAGGCGTCAGCTGACGCTCATGAATCTGCCACTGCAACATGAAAGCCGCGATGACCTCTGAACCCCCACCTCTCACTATCATATCTTCATAGTCAGCCGACTCGGGGTATCAAACATCATTTCAGCCAGCTGCCTCCCTATTCGCTTCTAGATACCTTATCTTCCGTTCAGGAGAGCCTTTGAGCGCAGATACCCGTGTCACTTGCCAAAGTGCGCAGATGCGCGGTCTAGCTGCCATGGTGAAGCTTTCTCTGCTCAGCCTCGTGGAATGGCTCAACGCCGATGAGGGAAACTTCCAGTACGCCATGCTTTCTTGAGAAATTCTATTTCTCTTTCTTTTCTCTCGTATGACATGGTCAGCGGCTAACACTCGTCGGGGCTCTATAGCACCAGGTTGTTTTTCCTTATGGCGACAGTTGCCGTCAGCACCCTGTCTATTATGAAAGGACTCGGGCTCCGACAGGGGCGCGTTACTGGGCAGGACTCTGAACTGAGGGTCATGGTGCTGTGAGCAATGGGGATGATTTATAGTTTTGATGGGTTGAATTGGATGATTGGTATTGGTGGTTACTCACCTAGGTATTCCGGGAATGCCTAACGATTATGATGTGTAAAGACTCCAATGGTTAACAAAGATTCACGAGAGAGAGTTGTCCTACATAAGAGGAGAATGCCAAATTGACTTAGATGGAGGTGTTTTGTGTATCCGCGTTGTATGTTGGCTCGAGTATGACTTCTAGTTCTAGCTAAAATGGGATATGCTTGTCTCCTTCGCTTCACGCAATCAACATATCTTGTCTTCGGAACCGAAGCAATACCAGTGCCGTAGTCCTGTTTGTTCTTTCACATCCTCTTTTCATCAGCCCCGTCTACTAGTGTTTTTGTAGTCATTCGTCGTCGACGAGATCAAGAGGACGATCAAGGTCACCATCGTCAACATCTCCCCAAGACCCATCAACCCTTCGTCTGCCCTCTAAACCCCCTCCTCCCTCCTCCTCCGAAACCCATCAAGAATCAATCTCGCCATCTGCCCGTTCGTAATTGGAATCTGCCTCTCCCTAACCCTCTCCATCCTAACCTCCTCCTCAGAAGCCCACACATAATCACAATGCTCCTCAGGATCGATCCTAACCCTCTCCTCCACCCCCTTTTCTCCATCTTCCCTCACTCTTACCTCAAACGCAAACCGACAAAACAACCTCGTCCCACTCCGATTCGTAAACACGCTCCCAGGCTCCCTCTCCTCCCCCTCGCTCACGACCCTAACAATCTCCCCGGCCTCAAGACCAGCCTCCTCCCACAGCTCGCGCGCACAGGCGGCGAAGAGGCTCGCGTCCTCCGGGTCTGCGGCGCCGCCGGGTGTCTCCCAGCGTAGGGGCATGCTGTCGTGGGCTGCGCGCTGGAGGAGGAGGATTTTGTTGGTTGAGGCGGAGAAGACTAGGGCGCCTGTTGCGAGGCCGTCCCAGGATTTGGAGTTGGTTGTGAGCCAGGTTGTTGCGGGGACGTTGTAGGGTTCTAGGGAAGGGGGGTAGAGGAGGTTGAAGGTTGGCGGTGGGGGGCGTGGTGATGGTTGAGGTTGTTGAGCGGTTTGAGCGGTTTCGGGGTTGGCTGCCATGGTGGTGGTGGTGGTGGTAGTGGTGGCAGTGGTGCCTTTGGTGCTTTCGTTTGCAATGATGTCTTGTGCTTGAATGAAGAAGTGACGAGAGGAGGGGGAAGTTCTGTTCTTGTTACATACGAGATGAAATGAGGTGAAGTCGTGCTACGTTGTGCGGATGCGGAATGAAGCTTGTTTTGTGGGGGGTTTTTTGGTGTTCGGTTCCGGTATTGCGGCTGACGATGGCCGCCTTGCGGGCTGACTTGAAGGCAGATTCGGCGCTGGTGCCTGGGACGTGAAACAGACTCCCGTATAACGACTTTCCGATTGTTTAAATCATTTGGGGATGCCGCCACTAGGGTAGGTGCCCGGTAGGCGTCAAAGTCGCGATTGCGTTGAGTCAATTATGGTGGGTGTTGTACTTGCAGTCTCGTAATGTTGGAATTCTACCTCAACGGTCTTGGACGATCGATGTTTCAGGGCAGTCACATGTTGAGAGAACTATTTGGCATTAGAGCGCTCGTGTTTGAACAATACTGGACATTAATTGAAGTTTGTTGTTTTACGAGATCTCCTTCGCATGGGTGGCATCGACATGCAGGTCAACAACAAGGGCGCCTTCAGGCAGACAGACATCCACGCTGGAGATTCAGGAGAGAGAACTTTCACGGAAAAAAAGACTGATATCCTGTGGTAGTCTTGTTGTCAGCTGCGTCGTAATAGACTGTTAGTCATTTCGCTACTCAGATCAAATGTCAATCTGCTCATAACACCCTCCTCAGTTGAAAGCCTATGAGAACATTTCCCTACACTACTATTCACAGCTCCAAGATACTCAATCCTTGCCGTTGAATCTTCCAACATTCACTCTGGACCCTGCGTCGATCTCATCATGGTGTCTCCTACTCCACTTCGCCTACTAGAGGATTTCCAAGAACGACAGGCTCGTGAAAAGTCTCCAAGAAGACGAGCTTATCTTCATGCCCTAACGACGATATTACTGTTACTATTTTCTTTACTTGATAGGATGTATATTTACTCCCATTGTCCACTAGTTGCGACTCGACGGGAACCTCTTCTCCAGTCCCGAGGCACATCAGCTCCTTCATCCCGAGGAACCTCAGCAGCACCAAGTAGCCTCGGTCGCACTTCACCAGGGGACAAAGGCACCCAAATCGCTTCCTCAGTAGCAGCTCCAGCAGCTGGATTATTGCAATCTCCCCAAGCTGCAGCCACTCGATTAGCAGGCCTCTCCTCACCGCACACAGGAGCAGCAGTAGGATACACTCTGCCCTGCTCACCACCACCGGGCTCACGCGCAACAGGCTCAACCAACTCTCCCTCCATAGTCTCCTCCTCCTCCACGATGCCCCCCTCTCCAGGATGGAACTGGTTCGGCCGCAGGCAGCGCCGATGTCTCCCGCCATGACGCCTCTTCCTCCCCTTCCTCTCCATCCAGACGTCATCCCTCCAAGGTCGACTTTCAAGGTCCAGCTCTAGGTACCGCGCGACCTTGCCCATGATGCCGGTAGGTGTGTGGTCTTTCTTAACTTGTGGATATACTAGGCACTCTTCGCCGCAGGGAACATCATGGGGTGAGTTGCGGGCTCGCCTGACTGTTCTTAGTCGGCCCCATGAGGGGCTGCCCTCGCCCTCTGTGGGTTGTGGGGGTTCGTTCATGTAGTATGATTTTAAGTCAAGTAGTTCTCCCCAGTGATTTGTGATGTTCTTGAAGATTGGGTTATGCAAAACATTTCGGGGAAGGCGCGACTGGCTTTATAAACAGCAACATTATCAATAGATTCACTGTTTCGAGAGGGCGTAGGGCAAGTTATGGTGTTATCCTCACGTCACACATTCACTCCAAGTCGACGACTTCATTGATGAGATATGGACATCTGATTGCTGTATGCTAACCCTGCTTGCTATCCTCTAGCCTTGCATGTCCACCTCAGGGAGTAGCCGTAACTCCCATGCCCTTTTCCCCGGTAATTCCATTCCTTGTCCTGAGTATCAATGCTATCCGAGACCATAATCACTTGTTCCAATGCCACCTTAAACCAAACCCTGCCGAAAGGTGACAAACTAGGCTGTCATTATGGCGAGGGTAGAAAGAAAATCATGCTTCTCTTGCAAGAGACCAATGCACTACTGCTAATATACAAGCGGTGTGTATTAAGGTGCAGATCTCGTGAGAGAGATAGAGAGGAAGAAGAAATGCCGTTACCGATAAAGAAAGAAGTATCAATGCTGAAAGGCGAAAGTCGAATGCCGTGCCAAAAGAAAGGAGCGTCGTTATACCAGCTTGATTGTTGTCGCCTAGTCGTGACCAAAGCGCAGTGAATGTGGAAAGGCCAAAAGCAAGGTCGACCAAAACCAGTCGGTACCAAGGCTTCAAAGAAGTCCAGGATATCCTTTGAATTTTAGCGGCGATCCAGAAACAAACAGGTACTCAAAGACGCCCAAAAGACTCAGTTCAGTACCCATGCTCAAGCATCTGGTGTTCCAAGAACACTCACTCTATAGTGCCGAAGAGGAGTCGGGGTTTGGGGGGTCTGGGGATCCTCGTGATTCTCAGGGTCAACGTTGGTGATAGTCGTACCGCCATTGGTGGGAGTCTGGGGATCCTCATAATCGTTGACGGTGTTGGTCGTACCAGTATGGGTGGGGGTATCGGGATCGTAGAGGTTGTCAGAGAGGTTGATAGTACCGCTACTGGGAGGGGCAGGGCCACCGGTAGTAGACGTGTGAGGACTCTCGACATTAAGCATGCGATGCTCGTATGACGGCTGTCCGGGGGAGTCGATGACCAGTCTAAAGACACTGGCCTGGCCCGGCAGGTAAATGTTGGCGTGAGGAATAGCCGTGTTGTGGTTGGAGATGTGAGGTAGGGGCTGCTGCTGTACGGGCTGCTGCTGTTGCGGCTGCCCAGTGGGAATGGCTGTGACAGGATCAGGGTTGCCGTTTTGGTTGTTATTGTGCTGGGCATTATCTATGCTCTGAGATTCCTCGTCACCGTCAAACTCCTCGTCGCCGTCAAAGGGTATGAACTCAATGCCACCATGAGAAGGAACCGGGGTGTGCCCAGGGACCAGATCATATGGCGAGATCTGCATAGCCTGATATGGGTCAAGGATCTGCAGGTATTGGTCTTCCTTCCACTCCTCATATACATGATCAACTATCTTCTTCACACGCTCAGAGAGGGTGGACAGGATCTCGGGAGCGTTATCGATGGTCTTGTTGTAGAAGGCAGCGAGCACATCGACGAGGATCTGGAAACTCATCGTGGCGTCCTGGACCTTGCCCTTCAGCTTCGAGTTCTCACTATCGAGACCAAGGAGTGTCTTGATAGCATGGCGAAGCTCAGCTCGGAGAAGGCGATTCTTAATCTGAAGCCTGTCTCGATCCCGGTTCAAAACCAGAGCCACGTCTTGAATGTCTGAGACCTGTCGGAACAGGTTCTCGCTCTGGGCTGCAGTATGCTGAAGTGCCTTATTCAAGCGCAGGATGTCGTCTCGTAATCTAACGTTTTCCTCCAAGGCGAGACCGGCGGTGCTGATGGCATCCCCCATTTTATCCACTTTCTCTTTGAGCTGCTCCTTCTCTGTCTTGAGCTGAGCGTTTTCAGCCTGAATAGCCTGAAGCTTTTGCTCCATTTCGTGACAGCCGTCGGTGCCGAAAGGAGTGGTGGTCGTGGTCTGTGGAAGAAAGAAGTTAGAATCAAAGGATTGAGAAGGGGGCTTTTTATAGATACTGGTGAGCCCATCGGTGGAACACAATCAGTAAAACGAGCGGATATCAGTAACATGAGATGAACACAGGATGTGAAGAAGGAGATATGGTGATTCTTTCTGGCATCCAAATCCGTTTACTGATTGGGGAACTGAAAGAAGAAGATAAAAGGAGACTCACAGTGCTGGTGTGCACAACTTCACCGACTTGGCCACTCTGACCACTGCTGTTAGCAGCACCAGCCGAAGCTGGGCCACTAACACCCTGGAGGCCACTCAGGGTGGCGATGGCAATGCCACCGCCAGCAGCGGCCGCAACCGCCGTCGAGAACCTCGCCGGGATGGCGTCCCGAGGGGTGTCACCAACGGCCACCGGACTATTACTGCGACTACTATCAGCAGCGACAGGCTGCCCGGCGACCGCCGGCTGCCGGACTGTCCGCATATTCATCGCGGCGTAGTCCTGGGGTGCTGAGGGATGGGCGGCGGCGCCCGGAATAAAGACAGAGGCGGTGGCCTTGTAGGGGATGGTGTAAGGCGAAGACATTGTGGGCGGTAGTGCTAGAATAGTTAGAAATGAAGCTTTTTATAGGTAGGGGAGAAGGCGAATACCTTCGTGGATGAGTTCGATGGCTGTGGTAGCTGAGACTGGATAATTGAAGGTGGGTTGGAGGAAGAAGAGAAAAGGTAGAAGGATGGGGGGAAAAGATTCCGATAGATCGCTGGGAGGGAAAGTAAGACAGCGAGCGTGTGCCCTTCGTCCGTAACAAGGCAACCCAGGGCGGTGAGAATAATTGTGATAGTCTTCAAGAGGTTTTATACTAATTCTAAGGAAGGGGCAACTCAAAAATACAGAAGGGCCTGGCTCTTTCCGCGTCGTAGCTTTCTCCGATATCCCGCAGAACCATTGACCCGGTGGGCGAGTTTAAACACACCGGGCGCATCACAGGCTGCGCCCTGCCAGCGAGTCAATAAATTGGGCCATCTTACGATATAACTCAAATGATTGAATGTTTGGAGTCGTGTTCTGCCATTGTTTGATGCCACGAATACCAAGATGAGGAACTCCGGTTCCGAGGTCCGGCTTAGCCATTCGTCTATGAAGTAGCTAGCATCGTCAATTCTAGAGACAACAGCCAGACGCGAGCATAGAAAGGACACAGAACTGCTACTATAATGCAGAACTCTCATCATTCTGGGCAATCGAAGGACCTTGACCGCAACATCGTGAGTCTGTCGTCGATAATTCAAGATCACGTGGGGCCGGAGCGACGTGAAATACGGCCCCACTACGGGAAGCCAAGAACGGTGCTATATTCTTAGCGGCGGGTGCGCTAGGGCCCAGGGGTAGATAGGCAGGTAAGGTACCTTCCAGTCGGGAAGTTCTCTGCAAAGCTCCTTCCAAAGCTCCCTTCGGACTCTCCATTTTCAGCTCTGCTTCGACTTCTGTCAGCTGACAGCTTGGGCCCATGAGAAAAGCCGAACGTTGACTGCGAGCCTTGTCGTTCTTCTCTCGCAAACTTGGTGTCGCTTGACACAGTCGCAATCACCATTCTCCGGACCATTTCAATGGACCAAGCGTCACAACAGGACAGCCCTCTGTCCATTGCGGCCAATGTCGCCGGAATCCTTACCTTTGTCGTCGCAATTGTCGCAGCAGTATATGTCAGAATCACGTATCTGCGCAACAGCGATGACGAGTACTTCCGAGTCAAGGCCTCGCTGTCCTGGTTCAAAACGGAATCCACATGGCTATCGGACCTTGTCCGTACAGCCGGTGAAAGATCAGGAGGTCTTCATTCTCGCCAACCTGAATATCAGATGTACGCCTTCGTGATGGACGACTTGATTAAGCTGGAGAAGCGGATCCTGGAACTGCTGGCCGAGGCCGAGATGAAGGCTGCGGGCCAAGATGCCGAGAATCAGGGTAAATGGACCCTCGTGCCCAAGAGTTGGAGCTTTACAACAAATGTCGCCATGGCTTGGCTGCCGGTCCGGACCAAAACGTTAGAGCTGGTTCGCCAGCGAGAAGCATTGACGGCACGTGTGCAATTTACGCAAATGAGCATGATATCTTCGTGAGCCTCCTAATGCTGACTGGCTGTCGATCGCTATTACTGACGAATTATCGCAGTCGAATTCGAGACTTGGAATCGAGGACCACGTGGACGGAGACCAAGTTTGAAGAAAGCTTTATTCGTATGGAGAACCAGATTGCTGAGCAAAGAGCCCAGATCCATCGATTAGAGGACCTCGTCTATCGTTTGATGCATCGGAGTCGGCTCAGCCACGGTCCCAATTCGTCCATGACCGATCCTCTTAAGTCGCGCCGATTATCCAGTCCCTCGCGACAGCTTCCAAGCGAGCTGACGAATCGAGGGCACCGCCGGCGTGCCAGTTCGCAGCCCACCAAGCGGTCGAGGTCCAAATAACAAGTCGCGTACCGCCTATTTAATGGCGTACCCTCCTTGCAGCAAATAAGCACCTGCCACTGCCAGACTGGCCACGGCCACAGGGAGGTCAAGCTCTAGAATCGACCAAATCCACACACACCCCAAAGTCGGCGCCTGCTTCATGATGTACAGATAACTGAACTTGTTGGTAATGTAGATCAGATGGCATCCAGCCCACACTCCGGCCACGAAGAAGATAGCCTGTCGAATGGGATGCTGGTAACGAGCCGGCAGTCCCGGGACAAGGTTTGGGCTAGATGGGAAAGCATGAAGATTGTAAAAAAGGAAGAAGAGCACTATCGACCACCGTCGTCATCAGCAATAGAGCAGAGCTGAGGGGAACGACTTGAGACTCACCCATTAACGCAATGAGCGTACGGCTGACAACGTTGGGCCACTCGATCTCCTTGGCGTACTGGTTCTGGACGAGCACGTCAAAGGTGCCGTGTACAATGGCAAGACTTACGGTCCAGAGCAGTGTGTCCATGATACGATCCATCAAGGGAGACAACAAGACCTCTCCGTCGTCCTCCTCATCGTCACTATCCTCGGCACCCGGCCTGTCAATTCGGACGGCACCCTTGGGCAAATTCTTATTTCTCGGGTCTTTGTCGGCCTGTTTGAAAAGACCTCTGTCCTGAGCCATCTGCAGCAAGGTGGCTTCGCTGGGAGCCGACCGATCAGGCTGGGCAAGGGGAATGCCTTTGGGGTCCTTCGCCCTCTTTTCCTTGGTCCCCTTTTTGGCCATTTTTGAGTCTCGACTGAGGTGGTAACGAATACTCGGTGAGCTGGTGGTTGAGACTTCTCCTGGCCGTCCTTCGGCAATCTGCTACGCCTTGAGCTTCGATAGTACCACTACAGTGATCCCTACGTCTGCGAGACGCAGCTTAGTGACAGCTGCAAGGTATGTTGTCGTCGGATGTGTTCGTCTGGTCGCCTGCTGATGTGCTTTTGGCTGACAAAGACAAAGTTTACAGTTTGACAGTTCCTTGTCCCGCCGTCAGCTCATAGCTTCAGCTCACCTCACCAGCTGTCAAGGAAGTTCTGCACCTGGGAAAATAAAGGTACAGGGCTCCCTGGCCACTGCAGGTCATCGGTCCAGTGACCAAACGGACCCATGCCCTGTCGCATGACACACTGCTCCGGGCAGCCAATTGCCAGGCGTCGCTCGCCCCTCAGGGCGGATTTAGTGTTGTCAGGGACCCCGTTCCGCGATCTGTCACCGCCTGCATTTTCGGGAAGGGAAACGGGTGCGACACACACCGACGGCGCAGATGGCAGCGCACCGCACCGCAATGCGCCAGTTCCGACTGAGTGACTGAGGTGGTGACGGGACGCAGTGAGGCACCGAATCCTCCGGGCCCCAGCTCATCCAATTTCCCAGCCGATCGTCTCCCGCTATTTGCGACCACCCACACCACCATTGACAGCCACCACCACCACCCGTTGTCGCTAAGAAGCTCCTCCGAGATTAGACCAGGGTCCCCCAAATCGAAAGGTGGCATCTCACGCTTCTTCTACTCTCTATCCCGCGATGCCGCTTGCCTCGTGACCTCCATCTTGCATCCAGTGCTGCTTTGCGACTCTCTCAGGTTCCTCTGGGAACTCTTCCTCCTCAGCATACACCTTTTGCGACCTCACCGAACCCGTCATCCTTCTGCGCGAGGCTGTGACTCGCCGATAGGCGCCACACCGCATCCTCGAAATACTCCTCTCGAAAACGACCCCACCTTGGGGAACTCGAAACCTCCTCACCGACGAAACGAGATCGCATACCAGAGCTGCCCAGTGTTGGAATTGGCGCCACTTGTAGTTGACAATGGGTTGGATGATGCTCCTCGTCCCTTTGCTGGCGGCTATTGCACCTGCCTTGTACATATACCTGGTCCCGCTGATCACGCCGCGACTCCCAACATTGGAGAACAAACGCATCTGCCTCTTGATTGCGCACCCGGATGATGAGGCCATGTTCTTTGCGCCAACGGTTTTGGCCCTCACCAAACCGGATACGGGCAACCACGTCAAGATTTTGTGTTTGAGCTCAGGTTAGAAAACTTCCTGGGGATACTGCCGAAAAGGCAACGGGACGTCATGGCTGACAAGCGGGGCAATTGTATAGGCAACGCCGATGGATTGGGTGAGACTCGCAAGAAGGAGTTAATCAAGAGCGGCATGAAGCTCGGTCTGCAGCAGGAGCACGACGTCTTCGTCATTGACAGCCCGTGAGCAATTCCCCCTCCTAACCCACTGCCCCTCAGCTCCACTCCAGACCCTGAACGAACTAATCTGACCGCCTCCCGGGACCTCCAGCGACTTTCAAGACTCCATGACCAACGTATGGGACAAGACCAAGATTTCTACCCTCCTCGGCCGCGCCTTCGCTCCGCAGCTCGCCCGCCAGCGCGCTGCCGGTGAGGAGCCCGACGCCAACATTGACGTCCTCATCACGTTTGACTCGACCGGCGTCTCCTCCCATCCGAACCACATCTCTCTATACCACGGCGCCCGTGCCTTCATCGCCGCCCTCTCTGACCCGCGCTGGACCTCTCCCGTCGACCTCTACACCCTGACCTCAGTCCCCTTTGCGCGCAAGTACACCAACTTCCTCGACGCCATCCCCACGCTCTTTTCCTGGGCCACGACGGCCGGCAGCAACCCCCCGAAACCACCCAAGAAGCCGAAGAGGGAGGATGACGACAGCGATGACGAGGACGAGGAAGATGATAATTACCACCCCACGGCGCTCGTGTTCCTCAGCGAGCTAGGTGCCAAGGGCGGTTGGGCTACGGCGTGGAGTGCAATGACCACGGCGCATAAGAGCCAGATGGTCTGGTTCCGCTACGGCTGGATCTCGTTGAGTAGGTACATGGTCCTCAACGACTTGCGACTGGAAAAGGTCGACGCCGAGGAGGAGACCGAGGCGTGAGAGTAAGAAGCTAAAAAGAAAGAAAAAGAGTTGATGGTAAAGCGTGGATTGAAAAGGAAAGGCATAACTAGCATCTCATATTCCCCATCCATCACCCCCTTTCATCATGAGCAGGCGTTTTTGCATGGGCTCCATGTGTTTTGGGTAGATACCACCATATACACCCAGGTACAAAATCATCAGCGTTGCAGTTTCAGAATGAATATCACGTACGCTGTAGGATGAGAATCGAGTTCGTCTTCGACTCTCCATCAGCCTCCATTTATAGCAATATTGCAATAACCTCACATCGGGATACCTTTGCCATCAGCATGAAGTGACTTGATGCTGTCAATCCATTCGATTATTTACTGGAGCACTCTGGCAGCCCTCAGCACCAGCAGATCTTCTCCACAAGACATATAATGTGCCACCGTCTACCACATCAAGGCCTTCAAAACTTTCTTTCGATACATGGGGCCGGCCTGTGGCAACGATGGCGAGTTCAGAGCTTCGCCAGTACCAACAGCCTCTTTTTCATTCACGGCCCCCTGAGTGGCCACCTTGCCAAGAAATCGTAGACGCCTCTCTTGCTCTCCAAATCTGACCTCCCTTCGTTGGCGGACCATTCGCCGAGTTGATCGTCTAAGGGTAATTACCATGCTTTCATACACCGGGTCGCCCGCCTCAGTTACGATAGGTACGGACTCCGCGTCCTCCCCAGCGCCCTCTGGTTTAGAAAACTTTGGCCGGCTTGGATCGGGGGCTAGTCTCCGGGTTGGCTCAGATCGGATAATCTGCTTCACACTTCTGGCCCTGAGCGCGGCGATGTCTTGGTTCATGATCCTTACAGTCCCTCCATACGTCGAGTACGTTATTGAATCAGGGAGGAAACGGCGGAAATCGTTGACAAAGTCGGGAATGATCTGGGATCCCAGCGAGGGCTCGCGGCGTAAGCGAACGCTGGCCTCTCGCAACCATCGCTGGCACAGGCGTTGGATGGAGTACCAGGATATGTGTTGCTGAGCTTTTATTCGATGGTGTCGAGAAATTGAAACTGGCGGTGGCGATGGGAAAAGGGTCTCAAACAGAGCTGCTTCGACATCTTTGCATAGTAAGTCGTAGTCGGCGCAAATACGCCTTAAGGAGTCCCATGCTTCATTTAACCTGCCAGAAGCAACCAGCGTCCTAGTGTAAAGGTCAACGTCACGAGAACCGGGCTTTCCAAGCTGGTGCTTGGCGGTCATGGCGTCCCATACAGCCAACACGTCGTTCGCACGGACGACCCTGTTTTTGTCGCCAATAGCCCTATACTCTTGAACGACCGGTCTGGAAGACATCAAATAGGTCCACTCAAGGAGTGAGGACCAGGTGTTTGGCGATATAGGGATACCCCATTCTGTAGAGATATACTCGATCAGCTTTTTGGCTATAATGACATGACCAGTGCAACCGAAAGACTGCACGATAGCGTCGATCAAAGGCTGTGTTGGGGTCGGTGTTCGCCTGATACTGTCCGCCCTCTTGGCACTGACGATTGTTGCTGCTCGATGATCTCTGTCCGTGGTTAAGATGCCCCATACTTTATAGAGAATTCGAGTCATCTCCCTGACTGAGCCTGCGCGTGCGCAGGCGACTAGGTACGCACAGTAGAACTCTTCGTCCACTACTTTGTGCTTTTTGCGGATGGAGGCATTCAGTCGTTCCACAGGCGCGGGCAAGCTGAGGAGGCGATGTAAGTCATGAGTTGGCTCCCAACTGGCACGGCCGTAGGTGAACCTCCCGTTGGCAAAGCGGTTGAGCCTCAGTCTTTCGAGGGACCATAAGATCCGGGTGTCTTTGAACTTCTTCCTACGGCCATGTAAATTACGGGGTCGCACTCGAAGTCTGTCCTTATCATGGTGGGAATAAGATGGATCTGTGAGAAATCGAGTCTTGAAGTATTCGGTATAGTCCTGGCCATTCCTGTGGTGGCCATTATCCTCCCCCTTGGTCATATACCAAAGTTCTTTTGCAGCCTGAACGTCGGATGCGGCACCGGCGCATCTGAGGAGAACAACGTAGTCGAGTCGAGAGGGCTCATTACCATGATGGGATCTCAGACCAAATAGAGTACGCAATGACTGAAAGGTATCTTTGTAGATTTTGGGGACACCAAATCGATCGGCAACCGAAGCAAGAGAGCTGTACTGGCCAAGTCCATTCTCGATTCGCAGACTGTAGGTCGCATCGCTGCGAGGGCCGACGCGAGAGGGGTCCAGAGAGCGCACGATTTCCGAAAATGTAGTCGGTGATAGCTTTTGCAACGCGTCTGCCGCCTCAATAGCCCGTGGGTGACGTGCCAGGCCTTTCACACTCTCCAATATCTGGGTTGTATCCTGCGACTGGACCGCCCGTAGCAAATCCGCGAGATGTGCGTCGGGAGATGTATAATCTGGACGCGACTCTATCGCAGGGGTCGAGGTGTCGAAGCTGAGCTTATGCGACTGGGAAATGCATCTTGCTGAGAGGTCCAACCCGTTTCGTGGGATGAGGGTTCTCGCGGAAGCTGTTGTCATGGGGAAAGGGGAGTGATGCCCGTAACATCTTCGCAGTCGAGTAGCCAAGATCTTCGAGGGGGTGCCGCGAGGGGGTGACAGCAGCTGTCGAAAGCCATTGGCCTTCATAGCTAGTATCATGATGGAAGGTTGCGAGGTCTGTATCGAACCATCTCATGTAGTTCGAAGCCAGTGGCACGGCCAAGTGGACGTTGAGATTCTTTGAAGACGTGGCTGGACAAACGTCTTGCTCGCGTGAGGGGATGTGTCGAGTAAGATTGACAAACACAAAAGCCGTCCCCTCACGGCGAAGCGAGAGGTAGGTACCGCGTCGGCAAGACAATGGAGGAAGGCACTGTTCCCCCAAACACAGCTTACGCAGGTCGAGGCGTTTTCCCCGACAGCTTCCCCAACTTTCCTTCTCCCGCTGCCGCCTCCTCCTCCTCTTCTACACCCTGCGCATCCGTATTCCGTACCTACTGGCCAACTTTGCCTGCTTGCCCGCTCCAAGTTACAACACAAGTGCTGCAAGTGCCTGCTTTAGTGCCCTGCTCCCTTCCCCTCTAACCGTGCCATCCTGGACAAGGGACGGGAAGCTCCACGCAGGCCTGGGGCAAGACCCATTCCTGGCCCACCTTCCGGTGTGCCGTGGCACGGTTCAATCTCATTGTGGGCTGAGCAGCCGGAGTATTCCTTCTGCCGGTTCCGGGGAGTCTTGACCAATGACGCGCAGTTGAGCTTTGCCCGCGCAAAATGCACAATTCCTCCAGTGCCCGGCCCCACCACCGCCTCTCGGCCATCCCAGTTGAACCGCTGTGTCCTCATCAAGGAAACGCGCCCATCCATCCCATCACAGAGCCCCCTGCTCCTTTTTCATCGACCCAACTTTCACTTTTCGTACCATTATGGCGGACGCCGGCGAAGATACCACGCACGTACAGGAGCCTCTTGACCTCGTCAAGCTCCTGCTTGACGAAGTAGTTTTCGTCAAGCTTAGGGGTGACCGTGAGCTCAAGGGCAGACTTCACGTAAGTTGAGATGCGTGTCTTGGAGATGGATGAGACTTGCTAACTCGCATTACAGGCATACGACAGCCATTGCAACCTTGTTCTGGGAGAGGTCGAGGAGACGATCTATGTGGTGGATGAGGATGAAGAGGATGAGGAAGTGAAGGTGAGAATGCTGGATGAGCTCAAAGTCTCACCAAATGCTAACTGCATACCGCAGACTATCAGCAGAAAGTCGGAAATGCTCTTCGTTCGTGGTAAGTTCTAGTTCATCTTGGGTACTGGTCAGACGTCTGACGGGGTTACAGGTGACAGTGTGGTCCTCATCTCGCCTCAAGCGTCCTCATAACCGTTGGGGGATCGCGCATCGACCATTGCCATGAAGGGGCTTTGGTTTGAGTCAACACCAAGTACGCCCGAACCGACGACAGCAGGGCACCGCTGACAACGCGGGTCGACGTCTCTCGCCGCGACATCGGAGTAGGAAAGGCGTAACTCTTCATCACGAACGCCAATGTGGCCTCTTTCCATATACCCTCATCCCGAGACCACGTTAGCATCCCTAGTCTGTTGCAGAACCTACACTATGCCACCACAACCTGGGACATCTAGCACTTTGGTACGATGGTACGACTAGGGGCACTCGGCCGCTTCAACGTCATAGCTGAGGAATAACCAGGCAGATTTATTGATCAAAGCCAGACACTCAATCTCGTCGTTTGCAGTTCGAATAGAAATTCCTAGCAGTGGAGCAAACTTTGGCTCATGCTGCGTTATCTGTCTTTCCCGTTGTTCTCAATCGTGCTATTGCAAGTTCTGGATGCGCCGTTTTGATCGATTTAATGACTCTTTCTCCCTCCTGGTGGCCGTAGTCAACCAGGTCAGGTCAGGCAAGAGGCGCAGCAAACAAGGCACAGCCGTAGATCAACTCATCAGCAAGCAATTGACTGGCTGAGTCACACAAACTTCAACTTCTGTTTGCCGCGGCCTTTGTGGTAAGTGTATCCAGCCATGGGGGTCACCAAGGTTGAAGAAACAATACCCAGTTCAGCCATTCAATCAAGACACAATCCGGGGCTCCGCATTCTGCAATCGTTTCAATCCACCACCATCCAGGTGCCAGCGACAGGTTGACGCTGGCCCGTGCCAATTGGCCCGTGCCAAAGCTCTTATCGATTAGCCCCGCCGAGTTACTCATGATGTCAACGCTGCTTTAGACGCATCCATCCATGTATTCCAACCATGGTTGTCCTGTATCTGCAAGAATTCGAGCATGAAGGATATAATGTGAGGCCAAATAGAGTGTCTCAGCTCGAAGCTCAGCATGTCAGAACTTGTTCCAACTTGGGATCCTCGTATTACAGGCACTTTCCGTGAGGGCACTTGCATACAACCTTGATACACTTTACGGGCTGGCAGGGGGGACAGATGGCCCAAGAATAAACGGCCGAGAAGTAAAGCAGCGGGGCATTCTGTCACCCGGGCGTGGTGTGGAGGTGGAAGTGGCCTCGACTGTCACTGCCGTTAGACTTCGCCGCTCCGAGTCAATCGATGACTCTTTTCTCTGTCCCGTCGCGACGCCAACTTTGTCGGAACTAAAATTCGCCCCCCTCTATATAGCTTTAACACGCTGCATCGCACTCCATCAATCAATTCCACCAGGCATCTTCTACAACTCCATTGTGTTGCCTTTGACACGCATCAATGATCCTAAGGATACGAATATAGCCGCTCCCATCACCCCACCATGACGAGCAAGAGTATAAAGTCATTACCGCACGAGAAGCGTAAGGGCGAAGCTGTATGGAGACTCCACCAAGTTCGAATGGCTCTTCGCCTCGACCATCACTGATCACTTCCCTCTAGGCCCTTAGCGACTTTGCCGAGTACGTCGAGAAGCAGCAAGCATTGCGATATCCTAGTGCAAAACCGGCCGACGTCTCCAAGGTCACTGAAACCCCCGAACACCAGCATGCTGAGCTTGACGAGCTCTTCGACAACCTCGATCTAGCCGAGCCTACTCCTAGCGTTCGGTTGAAGGACCTCCTGCTAGGCACCGATGACGACACGCTTCAGAAGTTGGAGGGAGTGCTCCAGGAAAGGATATTAGAGGGCCACGGAGAGGCCGTGTTCGAGCTTGGTTTCGAGAACAATGGCGAGTCCATGGGACTGTCAATGGATCAATGGACTGCGGCATACGCCAGATTGCAGGAGGCGGCCAAAAGCATACGAGCTGACTGCCGAACGCTCATCACCAAGAACGTCGGTGGCGATGTTGAGGCCCCGAGCGCCCAGTCTGGCAAAGACAGCCATTGCAGTGGCAAGATCATGATTCGCCAGACACCAACAACAGTAGAGGATGTCATTGAGACCCGAATAGCTGTGGTTGGCAACGGTATGTGCTCTCTACGCCTGCAATGATGTACTTGCTAGACGAGCCGGTCTTCTCGCAGCATCAGCACGGCCGTGATAATAGACTAACCCATATATCACAGTCGACGCTGGAAAGAGTTCTCTTCTGGGTGTCCTTGTGAAGGGCGACCTCGACGACGGCAGAGGACGTGCGCGAGTTAATCTCTTCCGCCACAAGCACGAGATTGAGACAGGTAGAACCAGCTCTGTCGGCATGGAGATCCTAGGTTTCGATACTCTAGGAGATGTTGTCGTTTCCGACACCCCTGGGAGTAGGCACTGCTTCGGCCCTTGTCGTCAGAACGACTCACTGACGATGACCAGGAAAACTGTCGTGGGAAGAGATTGGAAAACGCAGCGCCAAAGTCATCACCTTCACTGACTTGGCAGGCCACGAAAAATACCTGCGAACGACCGTTTTTGGTCTACTGTCGAGCAGCCCCAACTACTGCTTGTTGATGGTTGCAGCCAACAATGGTCTGGTCGGCATGAGCAAAGAGCACCTGGGTATTGCCCTGGCTCTCAACGTACCGGTGATGGTTGTCATTACCAAGATTGATATCTGCCCGCCCCAGATTCTTGAGCAGACCATCAGCCAGATCACCAAGATCTTGAAGAGTCCAGGAGCGCGGAAGATTCCCATCTTCATCAAGGACCGCGAGGAGTGCATAAACACGGCCACCCAGTTCATCAGCCAGAGGATATGTCCCGTCTTCCAGGTTTCCAATGTCACGGGTGAGAACCTCGACTTAGTCCGGACGTTCCTGAACATCTTGCCACACCATGGACGCTATGATTCTGAGGCGCCATTCGAGTTCCACATCAACGACACGTTCTCGGTTCCCTTTGTCGGTACAGTTGTCTCCGGCATTATCAAAGCCGGTGTCATCCACGCTGGTGACAACGTGCTCATTGGCCCAGACTCTTTGGGCCAGTTCACGTCTACCAGCATTCGATCCATCGAACGCAAGCGACTGGGGGTGCCGGCTGCTTCTGCGGGTCAGTCAGCGTCCTTCGCCTTGAAGAAAGTCCGGCGTAAGGACGTCAGGAAAGGCATGGTTGTTCTGCCCAAGCTTGAAGGACAGCCGGCGCCCAAGGTGCACAGAGAGTTCATCGCAGAAGGTGGGTCACATTCATCAAGTTCCAATGCGACACTCAAGCTGATCAGTCTCTAGTTTTGATTCTATCTCACGCGACCACCATCAAGACAAAGTACCAGGCCATGCTGCACGTTGGCCCCGTCTCGCAGACGTGCGCGATCATCGACGTCGACCGCCCGTACATCCGGACTGGCGACAGAGCAACAGTTGCGTTCCGGTTCGTCCAGCGACCCGAGTATCTCGCTCCCGGCGACCGGTTATTGTTCCGAGAGGGCAGGACCAAGGGCCTGGGGATAGTCAAGTCAGTTGGCTACGACTCCAGCAAGCCATTATACCCGCATGGTGACTCTGTGACGGGTGAGGATGGCGCAGCGAACGCCAAGGACGATGAGAACGGCAAGAAGCCTGCCAACAGTCAGGATGTCAAGGTCGGGGCGTAATGAGATTGCACTTGGTACCTGTATAAGTGGGCGTTCAGCGGGTTGATTTGATTATTGTGGCTAGCTAGCATTGGGTTTCGAGCGATACCAGGATATACATTTCTGAGGAGGTACGCTTCTACGTGTCTCGTACATTCATTCAATCATACTTTGCATTTAAATCCTCTCCCACTTCCAACGCGCATTGTATTCGGACCCTATTCGTTACTCATCTGATCATACTTAGTCTATTCGCCTCGTTTTATGGGATGCCTAACACCAAGAAGGCATCACAACTCGCACTGATCAGCCATCATCCTTGGGAACTCAACAAACCTCACCTCCCACCTTTCCCGCCACTTCTCCTCCAAGTACTCACAAATCGCCCTCGTCTCCAGCGCAGCCCGCCTCCACATCCACCAGTGCCTTCGATCACACACCCTCGCATACCAATACGCCAACAGCAGCATCGCCCTCTCGTCCTTCTCCTCGAGTAACCGCCGGAACCGCGGGTCCAGCTTACTGATGAAGCCCATGAACGGCTTGACAAGCTCAATCGAATCCGGATCCGCTGCCGCCGCGGGGGAAGAAACCCGCCAGCACGTGGCTAGGGACGCGGCGGCCGTGAAGTACGGGTTTGTGTGCGTGGGGTCCTCGATGAGGTTGAACAGCTCCGCGAAGCCTTCTGGGAGGGGAGGACTCCACGCGTCCATCTTCTTTCCGTCGTCTTCATCCTTGTCCCCGTTGATGCTGGTGCAAGGGGTTGGTGCCTCGACGGGCTTCATCAAGTGCGCATAAATTTCGCTCGCCGCATCCGCAAACACGCCCCTCGGTGCGCGGAGCGTATCCGTCATCTTCCACACCTGCTTCTTCCCGTCGCCTAGCTTCAACCAGTCTAGGTCCGAGGGGGATTCTTTTCGTAGGGGCCAGGCGTCGCGGGGCGCAGCGAGGGAGGCTACGTTGGCGAAGGCGGCGACGCTTATGAAGGCGGAGGCGAGCCAGAGGGCGTCGTGCTCGGAGGGGAGGATCGGGGCGGAGAGTTTGCGGTGGAGGAGGGAGACGCCGCGGTACCAGTGGTAGGCGAGGGCTGTTTGGGTCGCTTGGGGAGGGGGGGAGGTTGGGGTTAGGAGGGTGAGGTCGTGGAGGTGGGTCATTGCTATTACTGTGTGCATTACCACGGGATGCTTGGGGGGTTTGTTAGTTTGGGTAAGTGGTAGGAAGGATGTTTGGTTGAGGGAGGAGGGGGTCCAGGAGCTTACGCAGAATGCGATGGGCAAGGTCTTTTTCTCGTAGATTGATTTGCTTCTAGGCGTCCCGAGGCTTAGAATCGTTCTCTTTTGGAAGCGTTCAAGGAGGCGGACGTCTGTGGGGGTTAACTGGTACGCTGCATCTGGGCTTTCCATGGATCCTGTGGTGGGCAGCGGTGGAGGAACGTAACGGGGCGGAAAGGGGGTTTGAGCTGATGGAGGAGGGCGAGCTACGACGGCACTCCTGGACGAAGAAGCGGGATCAGGCCTCGGTCGAGCTTGGGCTTGAGCTTGAGCACGGGGGCGTATGGGAGCAGGCGAAGATGACGAGAGGTCGACTTTGAACGCCACCTCGACCGATAGGGCCGTCGCCGTGGATGTGGGAGCGTAGGAGCATGTCACGCCGTAGGAGACGCATTTGACGCATCGGGGTTTACTTTCGTCGCACTATGTTGACTGTTAGATATCGTAAACGGTAGGTATATATGAAGCCAGAGTTGGGCAGTTATCTCAGTCGTCACAGGCCCTTGGTGGAATTGCTCTAGAGCCCCAATAAGGAATGACTGGTCGAAGAATGATAGGGGTAGTCTCGTAGACTTGGCCGAGAGTGTGGTGCTGCGCCGAATGGATGCTCAAAATGGCTGGGATCCTTCACTATGATACGTACTTTCACCCGCCGCAACTTGCAGTTTCCACAGCCCTTTCTAGACTTTTTATGAGCCCTGCGCTTGCGCACGTCATCGCTCTGGGGTGTTTCCGAAGCGGGCATATCTATAACTTGACTGAGATGACTTGAGACTGGTCCTAGCCGGTAGCGGAATCGTTATATGGCCCCAACTGGTCAGCTCGACGTCTTGAAGTCCACAGCGATGCGGTTTAGATGGTCTAGTGAAGTCAAGACTCGAAGCAGGATACTCCAACAAACACCAACGAGATGAAAAGTGATGTGAGGCTGCCAGCGAATACGAACAGAGGAAACAGAGCCGCAGGAGAAGAAGACAAACTGCGTCAGCACGATAGAAAACCCGCGCCCTTTTTGTTCCTCCCGGAGTTTACGAGGCCCACTACTCTGGGAATCCCTCCGATCGTGAGGCGCTCATTCACCCGCGATCGACGTCGAGCTACCCCGGTCGTCTCCGGATTGGATCCACAAGCTTCTGCTTCTTGAGTAGACCTGATTGGATGATTTGTGAGTGGGCGGGGCATGAGAATGAGTCTAACCTCTGCTCGTATTTGGAGGATTGTGCGCTAACCTCGTTTCGTATCGAGGGAAGTCCCCGCGTGAGGAGGATGATGTCTTCGAAAGCATCAGAACTGGGGTTGTGAAATGCTCATTTGCTATTGAACTGTGGTGGCTCACAAATCCAAAGATATTGATCTATCTGTCGTCCAAGACATGTTTTACTAGTTCTACATCCGCTCACAGGTTGAGAATCCTCGTGTGGGCGGGATCAGGATGGTTAGAGGCCACACTTGGAAATTCGTCATCGTTAGAGAGTATCCAGCAATCCTGTTGTACTACCTACCATTGATCGAAGCAATTTGGTAGAATACTGATATCACGATGAGAACTAGAGGCATGTTGTATGTTGAATTATTATCTCTGTTCATTGCTTAATAGTGTGCTTCTGATTTGCGTGACGAAAACACGGGTATATATATATATTCACAAAGTCGTCAAATCCACGCTGCGAACCATCCATTCACAACAATCACGCCTTCTCTTCTTCAACGTCAATCCCAAACCTGGAGCCGCCCCCATCCTGCCACCATCCAGTCCCAAACCTCATTGCACCACCAAATACCCCAGCCCGACCAAGCTCCCCATCACCCCTCCACTCCGCTCCCTCCGGAACGACCCTCCTCGTCGCCATCTCGCTCCCAGCTAGCATCGTTCCCGTCCCAGCAATCGAGCACGGATCGTGCGGCAGCACTCCGTTGATGTCGATAAGCAACCTCGAGACTACGATGCACAGCGCCATGACGCCCAGCATCGCCTGCAGAGCAATCTTGGGCCCGGTGTTCTGGTGCAGTCTTCTCGCACTCTCCGATACCAATAGCCCTTGGTATGTCGGCAGCCGATTCGATCCCGAGCTGCTCGTCGTGTTACGCATGTTGGCAGCGATGGCTTGCGCAATGTACGTCTTATAAAGACCGTTCGAGGCCTCCATCAAATTTTGGGAGTTCTTCTCGCCCGCCAGCTCCTCGATCGGCCGCCCGTTTCTACCCGTGACGAGCGCCCGTGTAAAGGGGTCGATGAGATTGGTATAGTTTTCCATGTTCGTCCCGTTCGGTCCTTGAATCGTTATGTTCCGGGCTGCGGTCGAAAGATCAAAGAAAAATCCGTTTAGAGAGAACTCAAAGGATGTCGTGTCTGACTCTGGGGCCCGCAGGAGCTGCTTCGTTGACTCGTCCACCAACGGCGGCGATGTCTTGCTGAGTGTCATGTCCGGTGCGTTGAATGTGACGTTGGCTTCAACCTCCTGGATATTCTGATGGCACACGATCGTCGCCAGATCGCTTTCAACATCAAAGTTGGTCCTCGTCGCGTTCCTGTACTTTTCCTTCCGGGGTATGGCCCTCGCGGTCCCAAATGTTACCGCTACCGTGGGACACCCCATACCCCCGAGATCAAAGTTCGTCGTCGGCCAGCCGTTCCCGGCGGATGGGCTTATGTCGATTGCACCGTCGCCATAGACGGTGCTTGAGTTTCCAAAACTCCAAAGCATGATTGAGGTCTTTCCTAAGTATACTGGATCCCCTGAGCTTGGGATTTGGAAGTATTGCATCCACGTCTTGGAAGTCTCGTTTGTCGGCCTACGTCCGCACATCCATGGAAGGGTGGTGTTAATGGCAAGCAAAGCAGTCGAGTTGTCGACGCTCATCGAACCAGCCATGCCGCTCAGACGAACCTCCATGGTACTTCTATCGAACAGTATTGGCCTAACTTCGCGCTGCTTGGCAGGTATGACGGTGCAGTTCAAGTTGCCACGGATTCCTGTCATCTTTGCCGACAGCGGAACTTGACCATTGGCGATAGCCTCATTGCTAAGGCCCATGGGCTTAATCTCGTTGAAAACCAGGTCACCCGACGTCCATTTTGGATCAGGCAGGTTGACATACTCAATCAGCGACGTGATTGCAGTCGCTTGGTTATCTTCGGCCCAGAGATTTGTCTGGTCGAGTCGAAACGCGTCCATCTGCTGCAGAGCAACGCCTTCAACCTGCTGCACGGCCAAGACGCTATAGAGACCCGATACTACGATGGTCAGGAACCCGGCCATGATGTTGGCCATAAGAATGACTGTGACGCCGAAATGCCGTGAGCGGATAGACTCCCATATGGCGTGGGGAGCCATCTTGCCGATGAGGTTTAGGAATACGGAGCGGCCTGCAGTGGCGTTCCGCTTCTTGAGCGCAGCGAATGGCGCAAATATGGCAGCCATCGACTCGAAGCTTGAGTACATACCAGCCAAGGAGATGGCCACAGCAGCAGGTATGTATGTCGCCAAGACAGTGGAGGTCTTTGTGCCCACCTCCAAGAACCCATCTCGGTTGTCTGAAATGCGCTGGATGATTTCCAGGGACGCCACAGCCATCAGAGGTAAAAGTACACTGAGTGCTAAGAACCATGGAGCCCCGGCTAGCGGGCGCCACCAAGAGATTGACTGGTATTCTCTCGGCACTGCACTACGTGATGGTTCCATCTGACCATGGCTAGGTTCAACAATGTAGGTGGTCTCTGGCCCAGGTCGCAGAGACCCTTTGAACAAGAACCCGGATAACGTTTCCCGAATGGCACTTCTGCGTACCGATCCCAGGCCGGTGAATAGTTTGTTCAAATCTGGACTCGCCGCCAGTATTGTGACGCTTGACGCAATTGATCCCGGCTCTCGGGGTGCGACGTTTTGAGGTCGAAGGAAGATCATAGCAATACTGATAATGGTCAGAATTCCCAAGAAGGAACACATCAAGGCTGTCGAAAGGCCCTTGACATGCAGGCGGTTCTCCAAGTACGTTATGGAACCCTGCGTCGTCGTATTGGCAGGCTTCAGAGACGTCTGGGACAGCACCTGAGCGCCTATTCCCTTGAAAACCTCCGATGCCGTGGAAATAAGAAGGTCGGTGTCCATGAAAGATCCTATGGTGGTCAAACCCCGCTTCATTTTCATCATGAGGAAGAAGGTCGGAACGGATGTCGATAAGACAAAGTCCACACCTCCTTCGCCAATCTTGGTCTTTTCTGCAGAATTACTAACAGCGAGTCCCAGATAACCGTTTGGGAAGCCATCAATACTGCCAGTCGCATTCGTGTCTTGGATTGCACTCTGCAAAACAGCCTCCGACTTGGCACCGGCGAGGGTAGTCGATTTGACTTCGTAATTGCTCATGGTGTAGTTATACTTGCACATGACCGCCACGATCTTCTCCATGTAGATGAATGCGGGTCCGTTTCGCCTTGTGTCCATGGGAGAAAAGCGCATGTCCGCTACTGTAAAAAGCATTCGATGCGGAAGGCTAGTATTGGTCAGCTGATCGAGGGTGTACTTGGTCATTGGAGGGTTCAGCGGTGCGCTCCAGTCCACATTGTTATTACAAGTGTAGTCCTGGTACCATGCTTGGTAGTTCTGGGTGGCGTTTCGCTGCGCGTAGATGTTATGGTCCGGGCCGGCGGCAACGATGGCGCGGGTGATGTTGCACTCTGGCGTAGTGATATTGGCGACCCAGAATCCTCCGTTGATGCTGTACCATGGTAGCGAGGTTTTCGTCGCATTCTGTATGGGAAGAGTCTCGCAGCTGAATCCAATCTTGGCACCTGGCGTTGTGGCGGTGAAGTTGGCATCTGGACGACCGTTTCCCATCGCGTCGAGCTGGGGTATAACCATGTCTTCTGATGTGCCGGACGGGTAAGGCAGATTTTGGAAGTTGATAGCGTAGTACACCTGTGCAGCACCTGGTCCCACATTGCGAATATCAAATCCATCGGCGCCGAAGCTTGTCGTCATCACAATGTCGACATTATCGCTTGTGACTTCTGTCGGCTCGAGAATGAGTAGACCCGTGGAGAAGACGGTCTATCAGCGTCAGTAAGCTTCCGGCTAACTTTCATGCTTTCTCTAGTTGGGTGCTTACTGTAAGGAGGATCAGGGCCCAGCCAACGATGCTACCAACGACAGCCCAGTGGCGGTTTTTGATTGCTTTCCAGAAGCTGGTCGTCACCAGTGGTGAAACGTAGTCTAGGAGAAGAGTCTTGTGCACATCGGACGGGCCACTACGTAATTCTTTCCAAGGCATCAAGATCTTATTGGCGTAGTCTACCTGTCGCCACAAGGCAGCTACGATGACGAGAACTTGGCAGCGAAGTCATGTTAGCTTTTGATGCAAGTTCATTGTCGGTATATCTCATACTGACCAGCTGTGGGACCGTACTTCCAACCATAATGGTTGACTTCTTGTTGGGTGCTAATTCCTCGATTCTGGACGGAGAAGTGGTAGAGCAAAGCCGTCGTAAGAAGCATAGCAAGAAAACACAACGCAAAAGTGACGAGCACCGTCTTCTTCAGCCACACGGGATTCCACATGCGAGGCCGGGACTCCTCGGACCACTGCGAAGGCGTTGGGCTCTTGCTATAGCCATATTCGGACACGTGAGGGCTGTTCTTGTTCCGAGAAATTACAGAAGCAAGGCCATATTCCGGTGATAAGTAGTGGTCGCCATCGTGTCTGTTGTGGTCGCCGAAATCGACAGGCTCATCCAGAAACGCCCTGTTCTCGTCCAACATTGGGAGTCCGCGGCGGTGTACACTGTCGTCGTGGCCCCGGTATGCTCCATCCCGCTCATCTTCATCCTGCACTCCAACAACTTCGTACTGCCCTGAGCCAACGGGTTTTCGGTGGATGCTCCTCGGCTGGGTTACGAAGAGGTCGCGAGTCGACGCGATGGGACCAGGCATGATAGGCGATGACGCTGGCCAGCTTCCAAAGACATGGCAGCTCCAAGAATGGTAGAGTGCGAAGATGGAGGAGGCATGTAGTCTGATTTATTGGAATAAGGTAGTATAGGGTAGGAATAGGAGGCTGACAGTGACTCCAGGATCAAGGATGTCGGGCTCGGGTAGGCAACGAGATCCAACCCAAAAAGCCATCAATCAGAGTTGGATTGGTCTAACAGTGGCGGTCGAAGAGTGCTAGGGCTGGCGCCATTCCCGTCGAGAGCTCGACAAGCCATGTCCACGGGGGGATTGCTTATGTGGTACCGAACCAATGGCAGCTCGCGCCACTGCAATCATTGCAGGTCGAGGTCGATCTAATTAAGGCAGCTCGTCTTACTTTTCCAGATGAGCCCGTTAGATTTGGCGACAGAGCACTAGTACACGTTGGTGTCTCGTACCTGTGACTCTGTGATGCGACATGGCTGAACCGCCAATGACCGGGGAGGTATCACCCCGCTCAAGAGAGTCAAGGGTCAAGACAGAATGCTGCTGCCTAAGCCTCCACGACTCTGAAATGACGCGATGAAGCCTCACCGGGTATAGGCAATTCAATCTCTGAATCTCATAGACTTCTCATCTTCCGAGGCTATTGAGGCGAAGAATGATCTGGGAAGTGGCGTGCTGCGGAACGATAGGGTTACGGCACAGCAATTAAGTTATAACAAGGAGTGGTTATGGCCGCGATGTGCATCAGTGCGTTCTCCACGACGCCCAGTTCCCCGGGTTTGCCAACTTGGATGGATGTATTTGTAAGTGAGCCACGAGTGGCGCAGTGTGGGGTTTCCATCCTCTTCATCCGCGATAATGAAGTCTCACCAAGAGTAAGATTTCAAACAAGTCTGTCGGGGGTTTCCGTTGCTACATCCATTCATTCACACAGATGAGTCGAGATGCAGGGATGTTTCTCTACTTGCGAGAGTGCTGCTAGGTCAGAAAGTGTTCTAACCACCCAGATGGACATAAGCGGTGTCGCATCGGTTGGTTGATTCAAAGCAATTGAAGGAGATAGGGTATGAGGAACATCATGTGTAGAGTATGAGAACTATTGGTATGAGATTGAAGTGAGAGAGCTCGTTCAATATTTATTGAAACATCGCTGGAATCTGTTTGTTTCTTACATCAATGTTCTCAGCACTATTTTAAGACTCATCCGTTGTGGGGGAAGTCGTTCAGGGCTTCCGTTACGTGGTCGCGTGTCGAAATGAGTACTGGTCCACTCACGTAAATGAATTCAGTCGTCAGCAAGACTTGAGATCTGTACTAGCGAAGATGCGATATTGCTCTAGACTTATAGAGGCCTTGTTGATGACGAAGAACTCATTAATGAGAAACGCAATGAAAGTCAGCTTTCGGACGTGAGCATCTCCAAGTGCCTATGGGAGCGCGATGGACCGGCCCGCAGTAGCACGCCAGCGGGATAAGCCAGTTATTTGAAAGTGAGCCTCTTGAGTAGGCTGCAATTGATGCTGACCGGTCGTCCAAATCACCAATAGTAAATCAATCAATCGACACACGGTGCATCTGATCATCTCAAAGCTCATGAGACCGCCGTCGCACAGAGTTCATGAAGTCCCCGAAGGCAGGAAAAGCTTGAGAGTGACTGGATGAACGAGGAGCAGTGTGAGTGAGTGCAGAGTGAGTGAATAGTTGGTCGGGGATGCCCCAGACTTGCCTCTCAGCTGCGACTTTCGTTGGGTTTGTTGGACGAATCACAGGCGCCAATGGCTTCCCCCCAAGGTCGCCCCGGGCGGGCACAACCGACGAGTCTGTGCCTGTGGCTGCCACAAACGGCCCTGTGCGTCGTTCGCGGGCAGGCGGCAGGCCACAGCTGGAAAGGCCTCCCCCCCAGGTGCAACACAGGCCAATCACAGACCCACAAGGGGTAAGCTGCACCGTCACTTCAAACGCCAAAAGTGTTTCGTTCCTCTCCCTTTCCATCCCCCATCACCAATCTACGAAGTACCTTACCTTACGGGATACTCCATACCCATCATGACTGCAGACTGACTGGCTAACAGACTTCAAGGACGCAAGGAGCCCCTGCTTCTTTGCAGCCTCCGTTGGCGTCCCAAATGCTGGAACCTGTCAGATGTCGCCCTGGCGTTTGTGCCTTTGCACGGAACTGCGGCTACGCAGGGGTTGACGCTTCTTGCCCCGTTGGCCGCATACCTACTACCATGATCCATCGAGGAACTTGCCATCAGTCCAGCTCGTTGGCTACGAAGCAACAAGTATGACGGACATTCAGCTTGACGTCTTTCCCGAAGAAGAGAAGACTGGCAGAAAGACCAGGGTCGACTTGACGAATGGAGCCAGAAGGACGCAGTTGACTAGTGTCTTCCCGTTCCCTCAGCTATTATTCTCCATCCTCACCACTTGTCGTCCTCATATCTGAGCGAGCTGCCCATCTTCTCCTGTGTTCAACGCAGTACCTATGGATACTTTATTACTTATCCCGCCCACTTCTCCATCAGGGCCACCTGCATCTCTTGCGTCCCCGAACACTCGGCTCCGCGTCTCTCTTCTGTCTGACCTGGGAACTCAAAGTCCAGAGTCACAGCAGCGTGTTTGGGTGTCATTGAGCAGCGGACGGCAGCAACTCTGTTTCACAAAACCTCGGATCGCCCAACCTCAAGATCAACAGTGTTTGATCGCACCTCCTTGCCCTTACGGTTCACCCTCACCCTCGTTCTCCTACGGATACTCTCCCTTCTTCTATTCGCTCCGTCCCTTCTCCCTACCTTACTCCCAGTCCCAGCCGGACCGACGCCGACACAGACGCAACTGCCCGTCGCCTGGTGTCACCGACGCCCAAGTGGCTTCATCAGTCAACACCTTGACTTCCATCTCCAGACCTCCAACCATCGAGCTCTTCACTTTCGGACAAACACCACCCGTCCGGACTGCATGCCATTTTGAAAGCGGGAAGACGGATAGACAGACGAACGAAGCTTCAGCCTCCAACAGCGCAAAGACGGTTCCTGAACCTTTTTGCCTCTTTATTTCCTCTCATCTTGCCTGACTTGGTCCGTCCTAAAGTCTGCTCATCTACTAGTCTGCTAGTGCAACCCTTCTTCGCTACGGTGAATCACGATCGGCAACCTCGCCGTCACTAATCCCACCGACCCTTCATCCCTTCGGATCCCTTCTCTTCAAACGGCCCATTTCTCTGCCCATCCTCTACCCATTGTGGTAGAAAAGAGAGGCTCACGTAAACCCTGTCTGACCGGCGCATGGTCCATGCCGGCTCTTACAAGAAACGCGCTTCATCAGCAACGCTTCTCTTAGTCTCAAGCCGCCCCAATCACTAGATCTTGACTATACACCAGACCTGCCTGCTGGCATTGACGAGCTCGCCCAAAAGAGAGCGCACTCCCGCGCCCTTCACACCATCGTCATCTGTAAGCATTCCCTCAGCAGTAGCTTCACGGCCAGACAACACCAAAACCTTCAAATCAACGCCCCGGCAACCCAACCGTTTGGTCGTCTAAGCTCTGAACCTCTGGACCCTGCCGGCTCTGCGACCCGCATTGACGTGGTTCTCCCAGCCGATCGTACCGTCATCCCCAGCAGCCTCTGACACGCGAGACGTTTCGGCCCTCTGCTCTTCACTGCCCGCCGCCCGAACTGCCACGCTTCTGTCATTCCATCCCCAAAAGTCAAGCGCCTCCCAGCCAAATCCTAGTCTGTCAAGTTTAGTTGGCCACCGTCTTCCAGACCGCTTCGTCACTGTCTTGTCGACGACGACTCGACCATCTGCCACGAAACATTTACAACCAATATACGAGGAGAATCTCACAATCAACAACGCCCGCCGAGTGGGAAACTCACCCAACACATATCGAACGGCGGCTACGCCACGCCAGAACGCGATTTCACACACAGACGACGGACGAAGACACCCGAAATGAGGAAGTCGATACTCGAAGGCCCTCGGCGGCGCTTGGTCGAACTCTTGGTCTTTGTCTCGGCGGCAACAGCAACCACAATCAGCGTCGGAAGCACATCACTCAGTCTTTCTAATTTTCAGCTGATCACAGAGCTCTCTGTTCCACTGGGTTGCTTGTTATCATATAACAACCCCATCGAAGGATGCGAAGCTACCGACTTTGGCAGCACGGGAACGTGCTCCCAGAAATGCAGAGTTGGTCTGACTCGCATGCAAAGTAATCTCCAGGACGCTTGTCAGTCTGTTCAAGTACAGATCAACACGATACTTGGCCAAGCTCTGTCCGGAAACCTGGTCAATTTGCTTTGCGGCGCCCTAAACCAACAGACGTCATCGGCAGTGCAAACGATATCTACCACGACGATAATTGTACTGCCTTCGACCAGCGCTGTTGCTCCTCCTTCACCTCCACCTCCGCCTCCGCCGGCCACGACGTCCGTCGCTCCACCGCCGCCACCGCCAGCAACATCATCAATATCAATATCAACGCCACTACCTCCGCCGTCGAGCCAGGCGCCCCTCCCTCCTGCAACTACGGCGATACCGCCAGTGTCCAGCCAGGCGCCCCCTATCATACCTCCTACTACTATTATCACTTCAACAACTTCGACCGAGAGCCAGGCATCACCTCAAAGCACCACTTCGGCCCCGGTCAACCCTCTCGATGCTTTGCTCATGAATGGGGCCGTGGCCAGCGCGCCAAGAGCGTTTCTCGCGTGGGGTCTACCAGTCCTGGCCGTTGTCATGTATGGAATTGCTTGAGTGTGGGACTTGAAATATTTGAATTTCGAAGCACTGGTGGAGCGGAATGATGAACAGACCAACTACTAATGTGTAAGACTATTGTTTCTTTTGTCGAGAGATTACATGGGAAGAGCACGACAGGAGGCGGCTCGAGGCACTGAGATGCCTCCAGAAAAGTGCTGGAGTTGCGAAAGATGGCGATGAACACCGAGTATGACGATTGCGTGGATTATGAACTCTCACGGCGCATCAAGATACCTACCTTCATTAAGATACGGACGTTGTAACATTAGATACCACATACCTCAGCATGGCTTGAGCAGATAGAGATAGCCAAGTCTGGAGATGAAATTGGAGAAGCAAGACGAATTAGCTAAAACTGAGCATCAGAACTCTTTCGCTACACAAGAATCTGGAAGATGCGCCTAGTGACAGTTGGATAGCCGACAGGCACCGCATCCGCAACGAGTGTCTTTCTCCCCGCCTCTTTCAGCCTCCGTTAAGCCGCTGTCATGCAAGGCCCCCAACGCAAGGATCTTCCTCCAATGCACTCCCCGGTCCGGGGCGCCACGCAGCCGGCTGGACCCCGGCCCACCCCGGTCTGCCACGCATGAACCAAGCTTCTTCGGATACGGCCGCTCGAGTCTCGACCAGTCACCTCTTGCGCCGGGGGCGGGACAGTTCATGCGGCGGGGTTTCGACGGTACCAAAATCTGGGAGTAGGCCTCGCGAGTTGGCTGTTTGTTCAGTCAGGGAGGGATGGGGGCCTAGAACGTGTTAAGGCTGATGATTGATTGATGACGAAAGAGGGGTTCAATCAAGGTCCGGCCTTGGTGGTTACGAGGCTTGGGGATCCCGGCCGGACGGCGAAGGGGATCAGGTTAATCCGGCTTGGAACTACGGAAGGAGCCAGGTGGTGTGTCAACCGCACCTGCCTTGCCAAATGTTCATCCGATGACCTTCCACCCTTACCTAGGTGAGTGAATACACACAGGAAGGAACCCATATAGGACCCCTGAAGTCCATTCCCGTCACCATCGGCACCAGGCGCCCTCGCAGGCTTGTGAGGATCAGGTCAAAGCTGCCGTTTGGCGGGATGGTTAGGGGTGATGCCTTCTCGGCGGCAGGCTAGCCTACACCGGGGAGGCGCGAGTTTGAGTCTCAGCATGTGCACCAAGAGATGTAGCCCCAATTCGCCAACGGGAGGGTGAACTCTTTTTGGTTTGGAGATGGAGGTGATTTCTGTTTGGAATCGGGTTTGGGTGGGGGCTTTTGGATGGGTAGATTGAATTGATTGATTTCGGTGCGTTCTTATACGAGGTTCTTGTCGGTGATCTTTGGCGGGTCGGTTCGGTGTTGGAAGATTGGCGGACGGGGAGTCGGCGTGTTGCCGGAAGGGTTTGCATCGGAGCGAGTGGGGCCGCCCGTGAGAGTCACGAACGACTGCCGGCTCTGAGGCCGAATATCACGGGTGAAGCCACTATCTTGATCGAGGTCTCGTATCAAGATTCAGCTCGTATGATAATGGATTTAAAATCAAGCAAGTCTGTCAATGCTGAAATAGAAGAGAATGAAGGAGAGTATAAGAACCAAAGTTCCTAGTGCGCGGAAGTCGGCCTGCCTGTGCTGTCAATCTCTGAACCTTGTTCGCCTTCCAAAGCGTCATCTCTATCCACATCTTGGTTTTCCCAGGTCTTGACTCTCCACTTCTTGGCTATCGACGTCTTTGTTATCAACGTCTTCGTGACTCATGTCTTTCTTACTGCAAACAAACTTGAAGTCATCATCGTCCATAACCCCAACAGTAAAGTGCATCGTTCGACCCGACTCTCTCCGGAATCAACCCATGCGAAAGCGTTTAGATGAAAGCTTGCCGCAGATGTCTTCCTTCGACAAACTATGAGCGTCCTCGGGGATATGCGTCGCAAAGTTTGAAGCGACAAGCAGTGCAGCCATCTTTGCAATGCTGCTGAATCCGTCAGGTGCCAGCCCTTTAACATCCATGTCGAGTAATCCCCTCCGCCACTTCATGAACCGCCGTAAAGCTGACGAAAGAAGCACGAAGATATGTACGATTCCAACAATCCCTAGGATACCCACCAGAAGATAGGTCGATGTTGGATTCTGAACGAGCCGCTTTGCATTATTATCGATCAGGAATGCGGTTATTGGCTCCAGGCCCTCAGATGACATATTTTCCGCTCTTATTCGATTCTCGATATCGAGGATCTGTGCGCTGAGAAGAGCACTATTGTCGTTCAACGCCTTCAGGATTTTCCAGCTTTGCTCCGGGTCGGCGAAGGCTTCCCCCCCTCCCCCCTCCACACGTAGATTCTAAAACCCGCTGCAGGGCTGTTGTAAGGCTCTTTTTAAGTAGCCTCCTCGAGCTCGATAAACGCTGCAATTAGAGGAGATGCGGCTCGTGGTGACCTCAAAAGTCACTTTTTCTAGATACAAAGACTTGTGGAGCGCAACTTGATTGGTAGCCCCATCTCATCACCACTACTAATATTTATTCTTTAGATACATAGTTCACCATAAGACTCTCATTCAACCCAAATTTCAAACATCTTTACAAACACCTCCTCGATCATTATTCCTCGCCCAATAAGACTACCAGATATGAAGTTCACAACCTCACGCGCCCTCCTCGCCCTAGCAGCCTTCTCCCCTCTAGCTTCAGCCACCAGCTACAGCCGCTCGTAGAACTACTGGCCATCGTCGCGCCAGTGGCGTCGACGACGTCCCGGGCAAGTGCGGTGGGGTCTGGGACAGCCTAAGCGTGTCGGGGCATCTGGCGGCAGCAGGTCCAGCTGTGGCGGCAGCAACGACGACCTCGTCTGGACTTTCACTGCCGGCGTTGGATGTGACTTGGGCATGATTGAGTCTACCTGGTGGGAGGCCACTAAGAGTAAGTTTGGTAGCATTTCTTGCTCTTAGGGAGGACTATGCGGAAGCGGATGGGTTGGGGGATGATGGAGTAGCTCGAGACAAGAGTTGACGGGTCTGGGTTTTGATTGTCGCAACTCGTTGGAGAACTCGACTCGTCCTTTCAAGCGTTAGACTTAGACTTTTGCCATCATCTTTAACCTGGTAGTGGGCGAGTCATCGCACACGGCTTTCACGTTTTGTGCCAGCGGTCTAATATTCAATACCTATCCGACTATCTTCAGACTAACCTCTATCTCTCGGGTTCCGAATGGACCCTCTAGTACTATTTAAGTATCCAAAACTTCTACTGAGTCACTATCAAACGGACATCCTCGGAAGATCATCCTGCTCGTCGTCGTCATCGACTCATGCCAAAAGGTTCGCCGGCTCCCATGCCAAGCAAGAACTGCAAGCCCCCCAATGCGGACCACCCTTCCCGGGACAGTCCGCTTTCCGGCATCTAGTCAAGGTGCGGCCCTCTTCGAATTTGTTCCTGGTACCGCACTTGCAACATGTCCACCAGCATCGTCTTTTCAGATCCCACGGGTGATTCGAGTCCCAGAAAACTGGCATTCTGATCTTTTGGAGCTTTGCCATGTTGGCGTTTCGTGATGGTTGATGTTCAAGATGTTTTGAGTTGCTTGTTGTTTTGGGCTTCCTGATAGGGCTAGAAGGGGTTTTTTCTGTGTACGTAAGGAAGATACTGCGTGATGTGGAGGGGGGTCCAAGGACTGAAGGTTAGGATACCGACTGGTATTTATCTCATTTTAAGCCACCCCTGAAGAGATGATGCTGATGATGGAGAAAGACAGTGATTCAGAGGCTTATTCGCCTGCCGAATCGCGTTCGGGTGAATGAGCTCCTGCCACCATGTCACGACGTTTATCTTAAGCAAATAAGACATTAGACGATGAATTCACTAAAGGGGGGAGGCTCAGGCAGCAAGGGGAGGTACTCAACAGTCAGAAACTCGCTTCTCCATAACCGCCATTCTGCTATTCCTTGTGATTAATCGGAAGGTGAACAATAGCACATCCAGACTTGTGGCAGTAACTCCATAAGTACTTGAGCACTACATATAGCGATGTGGCAGCTGTTCGATCACGTACCATCACTTGATGAACTTGGACTTGGCTTTAGTGGAACATTTGTACATCGACCGATGATTGATGCTAAATTAATCATATGATAAGTGCACAGTCGATGAACAGATCAACCAATTTCTGTCTAACTTTAAATGTGACTATCTTCAATTGACTAGATTAGGTCACCTAGGACTTTCACTCCAATCACCTAGAAAGACCCTCTCTACTGAACGGGCCCCAAGCCATTTGACTTCCTCCAACCGCACCACAACTCCCCCCATCCTTACTAAGCCTCATACCCATTCTCAAGCTCAACCGCCCTCATGTAAGTCAACAATAAAAACCTCGTCATCCAAATGACACCACTGACACGGCCTGACATGGGCACCGTATCGCCCGTCACCGCGACAGCAGGGCCGGGCGCCATCATCTCGACAGACCTGCGTCGCAAGCTCGGCCGGCATACGGTTTCCGTCCGTGAAGCACCGGCAGCATGTCCAGAGGCAGTACTCCCGGAAGACTTCGGGTGGGTCTAAGGCTGCGAATTCTTGTCAGAGTAGGGGTTCTATACGGAGTCCATTCATAAGTAGAGACATATTGGTGGATGAGAAAGTGAAATTTTGGCAAGGTGTGTTTTGGGGTTGAATAACAGTTTGAGTTGGAGTTCTTGAAGATGGAAGATCAAGATGTTGTATCCTGGAGATAGAATCTTAGTGATATCATTATGGATTGGACCCAGGCGTTATTAACAGTTTTCGTGTGGACAGCATATCAATTTGATTGAAGAGATTCCTCCAGCTATTTGACATCTTCCACGTTTTTCCCAAGACTCAGTCGCACTTATCGCAAGTCACTACCACTCATCATGCGTCACGGCTAGCCACCGCGAAATCACGGACCTTGAGCCACTAGATCTGGCCAGGAAAGCTTGTGAAAGCATTCAACATTCATCAATGATAGCAAAATTGACTCTCATATCAATGAAATACAATGAGTTTTTAGCTCTCTAGGATATTTCGACGGCCTAGCGGAGCCACACATCCACGCGATCTGACGCTGACCTCCATCTCAATCGGTCTCTTATCACGGAACATCTACATTCAAAACATGCTCAAACATTTCAGTATTGATGCGTACTATCCGCATATGGGCCCCATCGATGATGTGTAGCTTGATCACGAGCTAGATCGATGGCATGTGATCACGTTTGTCAAAATTGAACTGGAACTTGATGTAACTCATCACCACCCCAAAAAAAAAAAAGAAAAAGAAAAAAGAAAAGAGTGAGCTCAACTGGGTATAAACCAACTACGAAGTAGTCTGCCTATAACATAAGTATGGCATAGCTCAAGTCACTGCCTATCTCTCAATCACAATTATCGCGTCTACAAAAGATCCAGATCCCGAGGATCCTAGGCCCCCGCGGGCCCAAGGATCGTACAACACCGATTAGGTCCCTGGTGTACCCGCCTCGTCCCGGAATTGGGCCTACACCCGCCCGAGCTACAGCAGTGCACCATGGAGTACTTTCTCTTGGGCAACTTGTTGATTCAGCCGCTCGTGCCGCACCTCCACACACTCCTTCGGAGGTCTGCACTGCCGCCGGGGCCGCTACCGCATCGGCTCACGTAGACTTCAAATTGCGCGGGAGTTCCGGGCCAGACCAGTTCCTCCGGGCCGTGGCCGGGATCGTTGTCATTGTTGTTCATGGTGCCGGCGCTGCTTGCGTATTGCTGGATGACCTGGCTTGGACCAGATTCGGCGCCGTGGTGATGGACTTCGTGATGTTCTTGAGTTGTTGTGGCTGTTTGCCGTTATGGTGGATTGTATGATTTGAATTACTTGGTGTCCTTGCTAGTGTGTATGTGTATCAGTAGTACTTGTGGTGATCTTGCTTGGAATTGTTGTTTAATGAGTAAAGTAGTTCTTGTGATGATGTTGATCCTGTCTATCTGCTGATGAGCTTTGGTGATGAGAGCACAAGCTATAATTGGCCTCGTTGCAGTTCTGCATTTATACCTATGTACCTTGCTAAGGAGTTGAGACGGTGCCGTAATTCCATGGGAGAGTCGAACAGGCTCACTACTCGGAACGTCCGTGATAAGGAGAATGTTGATGATTTGTGTGACTTTCTCTCGATGACTTGCTTCCTGTAGGGTCCAAACATGGTATACCTGATTTAATATGAGATTACCTACTGACGTGCCAGTAAATGGGTTAAGGAGCCTTGAATATGGAGGAAGAAGCTATGGCCCCCAAAGTCACAAAGCGGTACAATCATCGTTGCGTACCTCATGAAAAGGCAGCGAGAGAAGACTTATGGAAGCCAAACAAAACATATGGATAACATTACTATCTCCAGTCAACTCAGGCTCTCTTCAGCAGTGAATGAGACAGTCCCCTGAGTAAGAAGCTTCTGAATACAATGCAAAAGCAAAAGGTTGCGTCGAGGGGGAATCGAACCCCCGGCTCCCCGACGCTGCTTGATGGCAACGGAGAATTTTACCACTAAACCATCGACGCTGATGCTATCAATCATGACTCATAGTGAGTTGGAAGCCAGCTACGAAAATTGGGATTATGTTGCGATAATTTAAGGGCTGTGGGTTGGTTGTGGGGATGGTGAGGGCTGGATGAGATCTCCGGGCCTCTGCGGGTCTTGTTCCCGAAGCGGGGTTCCACTTTCGGGCCGATGAATGCGGGAAAATATTCAGGAAACGAAGTGGAACGCAAATGAATAGTGCAACTGTATCTAGTCTGGAAGCCAGACTCGTTGCAAAGAGGAGTTGTGAGATCAGGTATAACTTCGGTTGATGGGAGCTGTAGTGGTTGCTGCATAAACGCAAAAGGCCAAGATCGACAATGCTTTACGGTCAACGGCCGAACGGCGGCACCGGAACGGCCATGCAGGGCTGATCAATTGGCCCAAACGCCGTCATCCGTGTGCCGAGACTGGTCCAGCTTGTGGGGAATCAGTCATCCACGGTGACACAACCCAAGCAAATGCACGTTACAAAAGAAGGATGAGCAAACATCAAAGCGTAAACAGACAAAACAGAGAGTTCCGTCAACCGATTTGTGCGGCATGAGAAACGATGGGTGGAAACAGCTCTTCGACTCGTGTTGCGTCAACACCAAGCATTGCTGTGTTTTTGCTGCAGCCAAGCAATCCGTAGG